GTCTACCAAGTCTCAACCCATGATGTCTGGGTACATTCCATCCTGGGGAATAAAGAGAAATTTGGTTTTGTTGGAATTAAAAAAATGAAGGCCCATCCATAATGGCAATTCCCCGGTCTTCTTGGTAAGCGAATTTGGGAATGAAGAACCCAGAGAGAAACAGTCTGCTAAAGCAAACCCAATTACCACCCAGGAACATATGTTGCCCTGAGGCCTCTGCTGCCATAACAACATCATGTAACTATAACTACAGCCCTGGAGGGCTTTGGCCCTGTCAAATATGGAAAAAGATGTCTTCATCATAGCACAGCTTTGTGTTCAGACTGACTTCCCAAGGGAGCTTGGATCAGGGAAGGGAGGTAGATAAGGGGAGGAAGAGGGGAAGATGAAGGGCATGAGAACTGCTATTGAATCAGGAACAGTGATTTTTTTAAAACAATTTTCAAAATGTTGTAATTTGACTGTTTCATTTTGGTGGTTATTTATAACCCCAGCTGCAGAGGTGGGGAGCTGTGCCTGAGCCTGCTGGGATCTGTCCAATACCTTCACCCAGGGTGGGGCTGGGAGTAGGTGGTGGGAAAGGGTGATACAAGAACCAAATGAACAAAAGTCCAAACAGGTAAGAGAAGTTCCAGGCCATCTCCAGCAGGAGTAAACAAGGAAGGACCATTAGTGTTTGTGCTGACTCTATTTTTAAGGCAGCTCAAAAGTGAAAAAATTTTAATACGAATGATGATCACATTAGCAACCTCTGAGATTCTCCCAAAGGGATAAAGACAAGGCCAATACTTGTCCTCAGAAGTTATAAGATTGGCCTGACTATACTAACATTGTCCTGCAGTGTTTCCCAAAGTGTGGTATGCATACCCCCAGGGGTACGGGAAGAGTTTGGTGGGGGTACATGTTGCACCGGAGTTCGGTGGGGATATGCACTGCACTGTGCCTAGCTGCGCCTAATTCTACATTCTCATAAGTACGAAGGGTACTCAGCGTTACAAAAATTATAGAAGGGGTACACATATGTCAAAAGTTTGGGAAACACTGTAGACCTAAAGGGTCGCGGCACACTTCCCCACCTTACAGGACAGTTATCTGCACCCTGAGGAAACTGCTGTTCCTAACCCCTCCTAGGCACATCACCGGTTTAAAAAGAGGTTTAGAGGAGAGAGAATGGCTAAGTTTCCTAACTGAGCCAACACCTGGCAGCGGCCACCCCACTTTTAGATGCCGGGCAGGAAGGGAGAAGCTAGAGACAGTGTGGCCAGGCAGGCAAGGCTCCCAACCTCCAGGAGCTCTTGGGCCTTTGAAGCAAACACAGAACAACTACACTTTGTATTTGAAATCTGGTACCTATCATTTTACTGGCAAGGGAAACATTTTAAAGAAAATTGAGGATTCTTTTAGAGAATTCACAAATATAGCTGATAAGATACAGTTCTAAGAAAGAAAATGAACAAGGACATACTCAAAAGACTACCCTGCCCTGTTCAGTTCTTCTTCAATTCTGGGTAAGATTATTACAGCATTGTTATAACCAGTCTTTCTGCCTTGGGTCTCCCTGCCACTCTGCTCAGTCCCCCCCCCCCCCCCCCCCCCCCCCCACACACACACACACAACTTCCAGAGGTCTTTAAAGTGCAAATTTGATCCCGGGACTTCCCTGCTTAAAGTCCTTCAGACATCTCCCATTACTTCCAGCCCAGGTCCTTAGCAGAGCGTTCACGGCTCTGCATGAACTGGTTCCCTAACCATTCTTGGCTCTTGTTTAGGCAACCACCCTTACCATCATGCCGTAAGTCACCCTGTACATAATGCTGCTCCATACCTCTACACTTTTACACACACTGTTCCTTTCGCATGGAGAGCCTTATTCTCTTTGTCCACTGGCCGACTTTTTTGTCCCATGAAATTCCATTCTTATTTAATCTATTTTATAAATTCCTTCCTAAATTCTCCAGATAAAACACTCCACTTCCTCCTCTGTGCCACTTCTGAACTTTGCCCATCCTTCTATTTTCCCATTGGTATTTTAAGAACGATGACCTTACTGGCCTGGGGAAACACAGTGTCTTCTCCATATTGGTGTGACTCCATGCCTGGTATATAGTGCCTGGGTAATCATTCTGTCTCTTGAGCAGAAGTGAGGGTGAATAGACAAGAACAAATAACTTACTGAGACCACGTAAAGATACATTCACAAACACTAAGATGTTACAGCCATGACTAGGATGACTAGAATTATGAATGTCAGTAACGACACCCATTGTAATGCATTGAGGTTATCCTTTAATCCTTTCAACCCTGTGAGGTGGCTATTAGTGTCTCTACTACACAGATGAGAAAACCGAGGCACAGATAAGCAATTTTAAAACTTACGCAAGAGCAATACAGATAGATCTAAAATTCAAATCCCTTGATTAATAGGAGCTATGTGTTCCCATTGTTTGGGAAGGAGAGAGGGGAACAGCTATCAAATTGTCTAAGAAAGAGTGTGAGTATAGCAGTAAATGCAAAATAACATACCACTATGCCCTACTACCTCAGAAATACTAAATCAGGAAAGACTTTCTGAGGGTAAATTTTAAAGAAGACTGGATGTGTCAAGGCGGGAAAATCAGCAGAGCTACCTTTGTGAAGTCTGGCAGATGAGGATGGGCAGGAGGGCAGCTGTTCAAGGGCTTGGAAACCAACATCAGTTCCTGCTTGAAGAGCTGATTGAGTTATGATGAAAACGACACTCAAAGTAAACATGTTGGTTCAAAAAAGAAAGTAAAATGCTCTCGGGATCCCTCTTTGCCCATTCTAAATATACCTCGCTATTCTACTTTCATCTTTTTAAAAAAATATATATTTTATTAATTTTTTACAGAGAGGAAGGGAGAGAGATAGAGTTAGAAACATCGATGAGAGAGAATCATCGATCAGCTGCCTCTTGCACACCCCCTACTGGGGATGTGCCTGCAACCAAGGTACATGCCCTTGACCAGAATCGAACCCAGGACCCTTCAGTCCCCAAGCTGACGCTCTTTCCATTGAGCCAAACCGGTCTCGGCTCTACTTTCATCTTAAGTACACATTTTCCTTAGGATTATTTATCTATCCTAGTGGTGTTAGTTTTTTTCATCTTTCTGCCAGAGTTTACACTTCCCAAGGACAAGAACCGTGTCTAAATGGAATTGTAAACTCTTTTAGTGTTAGCTGCAGTGTTTGAAAATCCAAAGTAAGAGATGAATTAATGTTAAACATTTGTAATGCTGGTATTTGTATGATGAATGGTTAAGTCAGGACAATATTTTATTCTAAAATATTAACTTCATCTTTGAGCGCTGTACATTCTGACTATAAATCAGGCAACACATTCCGCTTGACTAGAAAGCATGTACTGTGGGTAGAGCATGGTCTGGGCACTACTAAGGATGGCATGAAAGAATTGAGCTATGTTCTTTTTTATTGGGGGGGGGGGTGTTGGTTAAACTCTTTTATTCATCACTGATTAATTGTAACTTTTCCCTCTTTTTTTTAGCTGTGTTCTTAACATAAGAGGTCCTGACCACTAGTGGGGGAGCCCAACATCCAAGAGTAACCTCCAAACATACCAGTAGCTCTAACTGGTTTGGCTCAGTGGATAGAGTGTCGGCCTGTGGAATCAAGGGTCCCAGGTTCAATTCCGGTCAAGGGCATGTACCTTGGTTGCAGGCACATACCCAGTAGGAATGTGCAGGAGGCAGCTGATCGATGTTTCTCTCATCGATGTTTCTAACTCTCTATCCTTCTCCCTTCTTCTCTATAAAAAATAAATAAAATATATTTTTAAAAACACACACCAGTAAGTGTAAAATAACAGTAATAGTATGAAATTAAATGCTTAAGTGCTAGGGATATTCTTCAAGGAGCCCCTTTCCATATAAGTTTTTATGTGCAGTTCAACCTAAGTAGGTTATTCAAAAAGGTATTTATACTAAACACTAAAAGCTAAATATTAAAAGCTGCCCGTCTTAATACTGGCCCAGGACATCCCCAAGGAGAGGGCTGACTAAGGGTCTGGAACTTTAGAGTCCTCTGTTTAGCTCATCAGTGAGATGTTTCCCTTGTTGCTTGGTTCTTTAGCTCTGCACCTGGGGGGGAATCTCCACTTTAGTTGGCCTCAGGGGAAACTGGGGTCCAAGTTCCTAAGTTTGCCTAAAGACTGAGATTGCCTACATTCCGCCCAATCGCTCTCGGCCAAGCTTGGGTCCTCTCAAGGCTTTTCCTCCAGTGAGTTTAAATCCTCGACGCCTGCTCTCCCTTCCCAGCCTTCTCTATGGCTCTTCTTCCAGCCCTATATCCTTGATCAACTTCTTCCTTGCCCCTCTCATAGCAGGCCCTATTATTTAAACATCCATCTTTTTTTTTTTTTAGCTCCAGCTTCAGAGATTCCTTCTTCTTACTCCTTCCCCCAACTCCTGGCTCAAGCTTCTGATTTCCAGGGGTCACTTTGGGTTCAAGGTTCTGATACGGCACCCCATCCCACCTCACCCAGGCCTCTGAACACATACAGGATGGGGGCAGCAGGTGGGTGCTCACCACAAAGCTAAACTGGGAATTCTCTGGAGCTACAGCTCCTGGGGAATGACATGGTGCCGCCTCCTCCCCGCGACCTGAATGACTTCACTGGCTCGCAGTTCGCTCAAGGCAAGGACAATGTCTCCTTTACCAGACAGGAAACTTCCCGATTATGGGCGCTGCCCTTCCGTTTCTTTTACAAAGCCTCCATGCCCACCACTTTGAGACACAGGATGGCTCTTTAAAAAAAAAATTTTTTTTTCTCTGCAAAGTATTCCTTCTCAAATTTTGAGTTTATAGGATAAACGGAAACGTCCTTTAGCCAGTCAGGCCAACAAGGGGTTAAATATCAACAACCTGATGAATTCTGGGGGGGGGGGAGGGTCCCTTCCTCGACTTCAGAAATGAAAGCTACCGGGAAAGGAAATTTTGCCCAAGGTAAATATGAGAGCCATTACCTTCAACTGCCAAGGCTTCTGCCCCAAACAAGAATGGCTACCCACGCCCACACAAAAGGATGCCATTCCCCTAAATAAAAATGGCCGGCCCCGGTTTGTGACTTGGCGCCCAGTTCCAAGATGGCGCTCGCCAGCCTCACCAGAAGCAGCGAAGCTCCCAGGACCCCAGCGGGCCCATCGCGTCAGATGACGCGGGCCCCAGCCGGAAGTGAAGGAAAAAGCGCTTCAGCCCGCGGCGCCTGCGCAGAAGGCTGTGGACGCTGTGAAGCAGGAGGCACTTGGGATCGTCCGCAGGCATTGGGACTGCTACAGAGGCCGCCACGGAGCCCGCCGGAGCTACCGTTCCTCTCGCTGCTGCCGCCGCTGCCCGAATCGGAACCGTCGGGCCGCAGCCGACGGCAATGCCGCGAAGGAAGGTGAGAGGAACGGGGCCGGAGGGATGGCGGGTGTCTGAGGACAAGCCGATTGAGCAGCGTGACGCAGTGGGTCACGCTCCACAGACAGCCTCTGGGTTCCAACTTCCCGACCCCCCCTCCCCCCCGAATCTAGCTCACCAACCCTCTCTCCGGTCCACATCCTACAGAAAAATGTGGGCCCGACGCTGGCCTCGGCCTGTGCTAGCAACTATTCCCGCCCTCTGCTTGCCTGGCTCGGAGGCGTTCTTCTCGTTAATTGGTGGCTGAAACGTCTAGCAGCATATTGATTGGCTGGTGACACCGCCCATTTGGGCCCGACGGTTACCTCCCCGCGTGCGGGGGAGTTGCCTGAGCCTGGCCCCCGCAGCTCCCCGATTGGCTGTAGAGAACGATCCCTCCTCTCTTGATTGGCTGAGGCTGGCAGTCTGTCCCGCGGGGGGTGCGGTTTAGCGGGGCTGCGATTGGGTGGCACGAATCCCCGCCCTCTGGGCTGGAAATGCTGTAAGTGGAGAGGCAGGGTTTTGGAGCATCCTTCCTTTCCCGGCGGGGGTCACAACAAAGCGGAGACTGGGTGATAGAGAACCAGCGCCCACTCCCAAGGGATCCCACTCTGATCTAGTGCATCCAGGCCTCTTTTTTCCCGTATTAGCTTAGTTGGACGGCGACTAGAAAATGCATTTCTAGGAATTTAGAAACTTTCTAAAATTACATGGGACTTAGGAGATCACCCCCATCCTTTCTTTTTACAGCTGCCCCAAGCGACTCAATTAGGCAATGGCTGTGCCAGCATTACAAAACAAATCTAATTCAACAGTTTTTAAAAAATGTATTTTTGTTGACTTCAGAGAGGAAGGGAAAGAGAGAGAGGAACACCAATGAGAGAATCATTGATTAGCTGCTTCCTGCTGGGGACCCAGGCCCAAACCCTACTGGGGATCCAGCCAACCACTGAGCCACACCACAGGGCAAATTTTTATTGACTACTCACTATGTGCTAGTTGCTGGGGATTCAACAATTAAACATAATCACTGGCTTTAAAAATCTGATGGGGGGGGGCAGGAAAACAGGCATATAAATAACTGTAGAGGGATCTAGTAAATTCTCTACCTAGAAGAATATATACAAAGCGATGGAAGGCAAATGTGGGAGCAAGTAATTCTGCTCTGGAGTAGGATGGGAGTAGATCAGAGAAAGCCAGAGAGAAGAAGTCAAGCCAGGAAAGGATGGTCAAAGATGATTAGTGATTCCCGCATCTGGGTTACTGGACCAGATGGCCTTTGATCCCCCCCTCCCCTCCCATCCTATTGATTTACTGTGATTCTGGGGCATCTGCTCATTTCTGGGCAGGTTACCCTTGAACTATTTGGAAAGCTGGGTGATACCTTGCTCATTTCTGCAGAAATTTTTCTCTTCACAGAAACTTTCAAATAAAATATTTGCATTTTTTAAATGTCTCCTAAAATGACCTACATTGGTAGGTGTTTATGTTAAAGCTCGCCAAATGCAGGAATAGTGTTGATGCCTTGGAATAGGTCCACAGTCTCCCCAAATACAAAGAGCTCTTAAACATGTAAGTTTGTTATTTGTTACTTATTTGGTGGCAAAACCTGTCCTAACTGTCCTGAGGTTCCTTGCAGTTTTTGCAAGTCTTCTTTAGTGTGATTATTTACATGTTATAATGTATCTGTTTATCTAAAACATTGTGAATTCTAAACACAAGAGGCCCTAACGGTTTTGAATAAATAATAGGGGACTTGTAGTGTGAAGCTTTGTATTGTCTTTGTTTTTTTTTTTTAGCAAAAGCTCTTCCCTTTTTGGTTTAGTAAAAAATGTATAGTGTTAATGCCCAACTGATGAAAGTAATCCTTATGGTTAATTATGCCTTTGGAGGCTAATAATTGACAAATAATTATTAATTGAAAAGAGAATAAAAATTCTGTTTCTGAATGCCTATAAGTCTTCTTGTGCAAACTGTCCCCCTTTTTAAGCCCTTTTGATATTCATATCAATTTGATATTGATATTCATAAGCTTCAAAGGTAGATAATATAAGAAAGAAGACTTTTACTCTTTTTCTGCTTACCGTAAATTCTCTTAGGATTAGAGTTGACCATGATATTTTGAATTAGTGTATGGCTTTTAAAAAAGTGTTAGCTGTTCATGGAGACTTTGAACAAAAACTCCCTAAAGTGAAATGGAGTCAAGCACTAACATTTTTCTCACTTCCTTGGACTTTATATATAAATGCATGGCCATTATGTCAGCCAGACCATTTTGAGTTGGATACTTTTAGTTCCAGTTTATGATACTGACCACCAAGTGGACTTGTTTTAGAATTAATCCTAATACAGGAAAAATTAATTCTCTTCGTTTATTCAATAAGGATACATTATTTGTAGGTTGCTCATTTAAATGTTCTAAATAAAGGGCGGTTGACTGTTGAATTCTTTCTTAGGTTTGAACTTCGTGTTTTCAGCATCACGGTTCGTTTTATTTCCAGTGTTAAAACAAACCCACAGAATAAATGCTTCTGTGCTAATGTCTGGATCTATGGTGTTACAGAGGAATGCAGGCAGTAGTTCAGATGGAACCGAAGATTCCGATTTCTCTACAGATCTCGAGCACACAGACAGTTCAGAGAGCGATGGCACATCTCGGAGATCTGCCCGAGTCACCCGCTCCTCAGCCCGGCTGAGCCAGAGTTCCCAAGGTAAAAGAAAGGCTTCCTTCTCCCTGACCACGTCTCACAGCCTGCTCACTGGTCCTCACATTGGTTCATGTGGAACCTGTCCTGTGGCTTGCTGTAGGTGACGGCATCTGGGGAAATCAGAGCAAACGACAACAGAAGTATCAGGTCTTTAAAAATGGTTCCGTTGGGGGCCTGGGTGGAGGTGGGCAAAGGGGGAAATGGGAGACATCCGTAATAATGTCAACAATAAAAAGAACATTCAACAAAAAAAAATACCAAAATAGTTTGGTTCTGTTGGGGGTGCTGTCTAACTTTTAGATCCAAAGAATTATGTCTGGTATAATCGATGTGTAGCACATGAATGTCTTGAATCGTTTAATCTTTTTAAGATTACAGTTTTCCTATCAGTAAGATGGGGATATTATCATGTCACTTTCTGTTAGAATGGTTTAGACCTAGGAACTTACAGTAGTCTCTTGACAATTGGCAGGGCTCAGTACTTCTAAAACCATGTTTAATTCCATAATATAGCTGGATACACAATAGATATAGATAGTTGAGTCAATAATCAGTTGTAAATACCCCCAAATTGCTTTTTGGCATAGAGAATAGAGTATCTCTGTTAAAAGTTTCTTCAGTGCAGTTAGCCACCTGGGCTGCTTAGATTTGGAAGGTGTCCCTGACCCCTCTTGGCTCTGCTCTGGGATTCTCTGGGGAGGAAAGAAGGTTGCAGTTGATACAGAAAGCTGATGATCAGTGAGTGATACTGTATCAAGGGGGGAAATGCAATATACTTTGAGCCCTTAAATAGTGCTGATTTGGTTACCGCTGTGTGAGCATGAGAGAAAAACATCAGTTTTTCAAGCAAGAAAGTGGGAATAGTCTCTCAACTATTCCTAACTTTATTTTTTAATTTAAAATTTCAGCTGAAGTATAGCTGTTGTCTCTTGATTTCTCAGTTTTTAAGTTTTATTTCTAGCACATGGGAATATTGATAAATGGCTACTATAATTCAGGTACTGTCCTATGAACTGAAAGGCCATGATGGAAGAATCAGTTTCTGCCCTCAAGGACTGCTCAGTTTAGTGCACGATCTAGATATAGTAAAGTGATCATTGTCATGCATTGTGGTAAGGACTCTGAGAGGTTTGCGTAGATTACAATGGGAGCCAAGAAATGGAGCCAGATGATGGGAGGACTCCCAGATGGAAATTTTAAAGGATCTAGTTGGAATTTACAAGTTGAAAGATGGGAAAGTGTTATTATAGGCAGAAGAAATAGTATATTTAAAGCGAAGGGCATAATGTTCTTAGAAAGTATTACTTGGCCATGCTCCCAATACCTAAAAGTTTTAAGTATCCAAAACAACTAAGAAGCACATGAGCTCTGGGTCTCTTTCTGGTGGTTATGCTTCATGACCACAGAGTTCTGGGACACCATTCACAATGTGGTCTATGGAAGGCGGCCCTCTCTAAAGCAAAACGTAGACTGCGTTGTCAATGCAGCCCCCTGGCGGTGTGCAAACTGATAACCTAGTTGTGTGCTAATTTACACAAAAGTTTGAGAACTTCAATTTTCTCCTTGTTTAAAATATGCTTTAATTTCAGGTTTGAATTTCTTTCATTCTTTTTTTAAGTGTCATCAGTTTGGAACATAGGAGGACTGTTGGGTGCTTCAGAATAGGTTTTACCATTCAAAACAATTTTAAATGCTGTATTATCGCATTACCCTTTATAAATCTATTATTTCTCTTCAGGGTTTCAGAAAGGGTAATTAGGAAGGAAAAAAGAGACCCTAGGGAAAGGAAATATTTGTATATTGTTATACCTTTAGTAATAGAATATCTGTTACAGTGGGTCAGAGTAAGGAAAGAGGATGCAACTGTTATTTATAAAGCACTAGATCTATGTACCGAGTGTCACTTCAGTCCTTTACATAAGTATCTCACTTATTTCTCACAACCAACATGAAGAAGGTGCTGCTAGTATTGTCCTTTTTAAAGATAAGGAAACAGGCTTTGGAGATTAACAGCTAGTTGGTATGGTAGAGTGGAACTGAATCAATCGTGTTTAGCCGTGATTACAGAACATAAACTATTAATTCTACACAATATTTCATCTCTATGTCTGACTGAGGCTCTTTTGGTTACGTTTTATTTAATAAAATAGATATTTTAAAGATTAGTTAGATTTGTGAAATATGAAGAGAAGGGCCTACATGCTAATGAATCATATGGATGGGAAATAGACTTCCTTGTTTTTTCTTTAAGTATTACATTATCTTTTCAGATTCCAGCCCTGTTCGAAATTTGCAGTCTTTTGGCGCTGAGGAGCCCGTTTATTCTACCAGGAGAGTGACCCGTAGTCAGCAGCAGCCTACCCCAGTGACTCCGAAAAAATACCCACTTCGGCAGACTCGTTCGTCTGGCTCAGAAACTGAGCAAGTGGTTGACTTTTCAGATAGAGGTGAGTGGGTAAGGCGTAATTTGGACCCATTCCAGAGAGGGTGTGCTCAGTTTCTTCATAAGGAAGGCTTGGGGCCACTGCAGATAGATGCCTAATACTCGCAAAATTTCAGCTACGTCCATGCTGTTTGCCTGATTCCTTTCTTATATCTTGAGATATAAGATATAAGATACAGTTTGGTACTAGAATATTCTTGCGGTCAGTAAATAGTAAACCTCTAACTAAATGAACCTTTCCACAAGTTCTACCAATTGCTTTTATTTTAGAAGCTAAAAATACAGCTGATCATGATGAGTCTCCACCTCGAACTCCAACTGGAAACGCACCTTCTTCTGAGTCTGACATAGATATCTCCAGCCCCAACGTGTCTCATGATGAGAGCATTGCCAAGGACATGTCCCTGAAAGACTCAGGCAGCGACCTCTCTCATCGCCCCAAGCGCCGTCGCTTCCATGAAAGCTATAACTTCAATATGAAGTGTCCTACCCCAGGCTGTAACTCTCTAGGTAAGTGTGCCCGTAATAGTTTCATACCAAAATTTTTTAAGTTAATGCCATTGCTTTGCCTATGATAAAGAGTAGAATAGGATCAAGAATAATTTTGGATGCTCAGGTTCATACATTTCAAACTCTGCCAGTAAAATAAAACCAAGTCAAAATAAACTTCCCTCTGATCCAGCAAATTTATATTTACCTTCTGGTCTACCTCATTAAGGGGGCTAAGTCCTAATGAAGTATAATTTTTTTAAATTTCAGTGTCTCATTTACTCAAAATTAAATGTCTTTTTTTTTTCTTTTTTTATGAAAGAAAGGTAAAGATATCTGTAGACTAGTGATTTAACTTAGCCAATTTATCTTTTTATGCCACTTGAATTATCTCACCATCCCTCTCAATCTTAGGAGTTTTATAAACCTTTAAGTTTAAAAAGGAAATAATTTTCAATTCCCTGTTTGTTTTCACCAAATAGAAAAATGAGGAGAAGCCCCTTTAGGTAAAATGAGCCTTTTTGTATTGTTATTCCTAACATTTTCTCCTCTTAAGAGGGCCTTGTGCAAACTGCCTGTTTAAAAGTTTGATTATGGAAGAAGCCTAAATCTTTAAATGAAACCAGCCCCACCACCCAAATAAGAAATATATTTAATTTGGTTCAAAACTATCAAATATATTTACTTATATGATAGAAAAGGCCATTTCCTTCTTCGTTTTTATGTTTCTGTTGACTATTGAAAGAAGTTCATCAGGTAGGATAAAATTGCATAATATGAAGTACACTTGTTACCTTATGACTTGGTCAGTCTAGCATAGGAAAATTAAATTCTGCCAAAAGAGAATATTTCCGCAGGTGATTTTGTGCCTTTATTAAAAGTGTATGGCTTTATGACACTTTGGAATTTGAGAAATACCTCATCAGAACAGAAGGAATTACAATTTATATTGAACATACACAAGTATCTTCAAATATTGCCACATTCAGCCAGTGGAAGGAAAGAATTTAGTTGCAGGTGCAACTCATGGTTCTTAGGAGCGCTTCCCTTTTTTGAATTCAGTCTGTCTGATTGAATCTGTTTGATCAGACATATATTTGATAAAAATTATACAGCAAAAAAACAGGTTTGCTATGGAGAAAAACAGCATTCTCTAAGTTTAAATATTCTATCCTGAAATTAAGTTTTCCCCTCTTTTAACAGGACATCTGACAGGAAAACATGAGAGACATTTCTCCATCTCAGGATGCCCGCTCTATCACAACCTCTCAGCTGACGAGTGCAAGGTAATTATGTTCTCATTTACTCAACGTGTACTTATCAAGTGCTTACCTTTTCACTTGCTAACTAGTGAAGATCCAGTGTGGACATGGGCAAGGTCCTCCCTTTTAAATTCTAGTAGAGGAAATATCATATAAAACAACTGTTTTTAAAAACAATAGTTAATTAGACAGATAAAAGAATTTTAGTATATAATGAATGTTTTGAAAGAAATTGACAAGATTATCTATGGAATATTTGGAATATCACCCTCTAATACATTAATTTTCATTGAAAGTTACAAAGACTTCTAGGGACCTTTTTCATTAGGTACTGATTTGCATAAATATATGGTCTCAATATTTATGCATTAGGCTCTCATCTTGTACATCTATGAAAACATTTTGCTTCTAAAAAGGTTTTCATAATTTTTTTCTATTTCTGTGGAATAGTCTTCCTTTTTGTTACTCTCAATCACATCTACTCTTGGCTAATTCTTGTTTTAAATTCTTGAAAAATGTAGTTGTAAATAACCTTTGGGATTTTAGCATAATGAATTAGGAGTAGAACCTAAGATCCTATTTTATATGTTTCTGTGAGGGTTGCTTCCAAGGTTGGAACCAGGAAACTATGGGAAGCAAGAGTTGAGAATATTGTTAATTAAATGGTTGGCTTGGATACTATTTGAACAGGTTATCCAAGCTGGTTAAACCAGAGTATTGATTTGTGGTTGTTATTTTGTTAATAAGTTCAGGATCACAGGTTTATTCCTGTCTGAGGCAGTTTCATCCTGAGAAGATTAGATTCCCCAGCTAACATTACTTCTCCCTGATGCAGGAATTTTTTCTCTCATTTACAAGTTGACCACAGGATGGAAAGTTTCTTTATATGCTCATTCTTTCAGCAACATAGTATACTGCCAAGGCTTACATGGATTTTAAAGTTGAGGATACTTGTTTTTTTCATTCCAGTTCTCTTGTATAGCCAAGGCAGTTTCTTCTGCTCTATGTAAGAGTAAGTGCTAGGTCTCCCCATTATCTTCCAGTTAGTCTGAGACCAGGTCAGACAGAACAGAAGTAGCTCTACCAACTTCTGTATCAAAGCTGACAAGGCATTATGTGCTTCTTTCTCTGAAAACAGCTGTGATCTCTGTTTTTTGAGACTTGTCCCTACCTCTTGTTTCTAAACAGAACGATCTGATTCTGTCAATGGTTTTACATAAAAGTCTTCCTAAGCTATAACTTAAGGTTGTTGGCCTGTAGCAATATGAGCATGTTACCTTAGCAGTTTATTTTTAAAAAATAAAAATTTCAGTTGTGGAATAAAATTCTGAAGAAAGAAAAGCATTACTTGAGTTTTTCCTCTTTCAAGGGGAATCAGGCTCAGCATAATCCATCTTTACCACTGGAACATGTGCTTGGAAGATTGGGAGAATTTCTGAAAGATACATATATTTTTATTATATTTAGAATCCCAAATGGAAATATTAGACTAATTCTTTACACTTATTAAAAGCTCTAACATTTTTCAAATACTTGCATGTACATGATTACTCTTAAGTTTCCTGGTAAATGATTGCTCTCAGTGACATGACCATTTTTATTCAGTCCTAGATTTCTGTGACTGCATGTGCCAAACACTGTTGTTGGTATCTAAGGATTCTGTGAAGGAGATAAAAGGCTACTGCATTCAAGGAGTTTACATTCTCATGGTGGGAGGCCAAATCAACATATAAGTTACTAAGTAAATAAGAATTTAATAAAGTGATAAATATGAGAAGCAAAAAGACTAAAGACAAGGAAAGTGACAGCTTTGGGGGTGACGAAGGGGTGTGGCACTGGTTTTGCTTGGGTGGTTAGGAAACCCTTTTTGAGGTGTTGGCATCTGATCTGAATGATGGGTGACGACAAAGAGGCAGTTGTGTCAAGATTTAGGATGAGAGATCTTAGGTAGAGGGATGAGCAAGCACAAAGGTTGTGAGGTGGAAACAAACTTGGGTTTTGAGGGACCAAAAGTTGGCCACTGTGACTGGAGCATGATGGGAAATGAGGAAGCCGGATCCAGATCCAAAGGACCTGTAGGCCTTGGCACAAGGAGTGTATTTGTATTCTGATGGCTGTGGGATGCACCTGGAAGGCTTTATCCAAGGTGTGTTGTAATTCCATAAACCCTTTTCAAGAATCACAGCTTGCTAGTGTGTGGAGAGTGGACTGGAGGGGACAAGAGTTGACTCAGGATAGACTACTTGGAAGTTCAGGCAGTAGGTGGTGGCGTGGGGTATTGCTCTATTAGTGAAGATAGTAAAAATTGGTTGGTTTCTGGATATATTTTGGAGGGGAGCAGCCTAATAGGCTTGCTGATGGATTCAGTGTGAGGTGTGAGAGAAAAAGAATCAAGAATGACATTAAAGTTTTTGACCTACTCATTTGTTTAGAAAGTGTCCCCCTTTATTGATATAGGGGAGATTTGGGTGGAGCAGATCTGTGGGAGAATGTCAGTCTTCAGTTTTGACCATGCTGAGTTTGACTGTTGAAGTTGAGTAGGCAGTTGTACGTGAGTCCTCACTTACCAGAAGATGAAACTGAAACTGTTGGAAAGATGATGTGATTTGTCTAAGATAACATAACCACATAGTTAATTTTCCTTATAGACTTGACCCCAGTATCTAACATTTTTTCTCTGTGTTTCTTCATTCTGTTATTGCACTGTTTCTGTTTCATTGTACACTGGAAAGAGTTCAGGCTCAGAGTCACCAATTAAACTTTAAATTCTTAGGTTTATCATGATTTAGTTGTAATTGTTTCACTTCTGATTTTCAGTTATTGGCTGAGATAATGGAATGGAAGCTTGCCTTATCTATGTCTTACAGATTTTGTGATAATAAATGTGAAGACCCTTTGAAAGTAAAAGTACCACATAAATTCAGGGGATTTGTTCTTGTATTGTTTGCGTCAAGTGAACATAGTTGTAGAAGCAGGTGGATTTATTGACGTTGTTGATGGTTGCAGGTGAGAGCACAGAGCCGGGATAAGCAGATAGAAGAAAGGATGCTGTCCCACAGGCAAGATGACAACAACAGGCATGCAACCAGGCATCAGGTATGGGCCTTGTTAAAGCTCTGGCCATTCCCAGTTGGAGAGCCAAGTTTTGGATATCCTCTGCCCATGACTGTCTTTAGGTATTCCATGCCTCTTGTTTCCTATGGCATTGTGTCTAAATAACTGGTCTTCAGTCAAACTCAGAATCATATTTGTTTTTCAAATAGTAAATTTTCATGAAACCAACACTTCCACATCATAAATGAAGGAAGCATGCAATTTATAATAATAATAACAACAACAGATAATCCTGGTTATTTGAAAGATTCTACCTGATGCTCTATTTCCTCATTTTGCATCTACTTTTTAACCGATTGTAATTTACCTTCAAGCGCTTCTACTCTGCTGGAATGTTTCCAAGACCACCAGTGACTTTTCCTCAGCATTTGACATTGATTGTTGATGCCATTTTTCTTCTAATTCTCTCTTCCCTTGAATCCCAAGATGCTGCTTTACCCTAATCCTTCTGCTTTTCTGAACATTCATACCCACTGATTACACTCAGTTCCTTGTTTCTCCCTGAATGCCTTTGGTCTTTACTTTACTCTTGCTGGTTTTCTGCCCAAACTCTGTATTCCTATACCAAGAAGAAATGGTATTTACCCTTCAGGGCCTTGTACAATTCTCAGCTATTGTAGAAATTCTTCCCTAAACTTCTACCATTAATGCGTTACTTCTTCATGCATTCCCACTGTAATGTTCTCAGAATATTATTTGGCCTTGTCACATATTGTATATACATAGCTCATCATGTGAAATCTGTGTTTGAGGTTAGGCTATAGGTGGATAGCAGAGGAGGCATGGCGATGAGGGAGAAGAAATTTGGCTTAGGAGCCAAACACATCTGGATCTGAATACTGTGATTCTTTTACTCTAGCAGTGTGGTCTTGGACAGGGCAGCTAACTTCCCTAAACTTCATTTTCTTGTTAATAAAAAGGGGTGACTAATACCTGCCTGGCAGGGCAGTCAGCTAAATCATACATCTGACGTACCTATCCTCAGTGCTCGGGGATAAGCATCTATAAATTTGTGGTCCATCTTTGGTTCTATTCTCACTCAGTTTTACATTTTTATGTCAGTACTTGGAAAGCAGTAAGCTGTCACTAAATGCTTATTGAATTGAAGTGATCTTTATTTTATTCCTTTTGCTTTGGTGGAGACCTCCATCCTTCATTTATATTCTGTTTGGGTTCATATCAAAATAAGTCCATCCCTGAACTCATATTAACTGACAGCGCACTCGATTTGGAGTTTTAAAGTTGCCAGTACTTTAACATGGTGGTTGAAACACATCTGACATTCCTTCGCCACCCCCATTTTGTTGTCACTTTCATTTTGAAACTAATTACACGATGAGCTTTCTACCTAGCTTGCCACTCTTCTCCTTTTTTCCTATTAGGCACCATCTGACAGGCAGCTGCGATACAAGGAAAAGGTTGCTGAACTCAGGAAGAAAAGAAATTCTGGGCTGAGCAAAGAACAGAAGGAGAAATATTTGGTGAGAGAAAGTTAACTAATTAGCATGAACTTCTTTTGGTTTCTAAGCTTCTATCTTTCAGATTTATTGCTTGGTGTTCTCTCTAAGCAAAGGACTGTTCTCTGGCAGCTAGAGTTTACTATAATCCCCCAAAACTGGCTGTTATGAGTGGAAACCGGAGGTCTTTCAAAAACAAAATACTGTTAGAATTTAGATGAAAAAAAAAGTTCAGTCCTCTAGTTGTTTGTAAACTTTACTTTAGCTTTAAAGGGTTAAATTTACCCTCTCAAATGCCATGATAATAGAGATGTCTGTTTAAGGGAAAATAATCAAGCTATAGTCAGTCCACTTACTTTAATGGAAAAATAGAATTCCTACATAATAAAAGGTATTAATTTAATGATAGCATCTATAACTCTTTTTGTAGTATTTTAACTTTTTTTTCTAGTTTTAAAAGTAATGTACATTTGTAATAGAAAATATAGAACAATTAAGAAAAGTATACAGAAATAAATACTAATCCTACTACTTAAAAAATAACCAGAGTTATTAGCATTTTGGAATATAGCCTAGCTTTTTACATAATGCCTTATTTATAAAATTTGGTTATTACCATAAGTACAGCTTTGAATTCTGTTTTTTTAATATCTTGAACTACTTTCCTCATTTTTATTAAAAATTCATCAAGAAACTTTTGTATACTTTGGCTGGGTAGCTTAGTTAGAAGTCTGTTGTCCAGATGAATATATCAAGGTTGCAGGTTTGATCTCCTGTAAGAGCACATATAAGAATCAATTAATGAATGCATAAATAAGTGGAACAACAAGTTGATGTGTCTGTCTCTCTCTCTTCCTCTCTCCAAAGTCAGTCAATCAATAAAAAAAAACTTAAAAACATTTTGCGTAACTTTATTTTTTAAGTGAAGATTTACTTTATTATAAACCTACTAACAAATGCTTAACTATTGAAAATACAAAAAAAAAGAGAAAAATTACAATAAAAATTACCCTCCAAAATATAAATCACTGTTAATATCTTGGCATGTGATCGCTCAGTCTTTCTTTGATATTTTTTAAAATATATTTTATTGGTTTTCTTACAGAGAGGAAGGGAGAGGGCTAGAGAGTTAGAAACATCCATCAGAACCCTCCTGCACACCCCTGCAACCAAGGTACACGCCCTTGACCGGAATCGAATCTGGGACCCTTGAGTCTACAGGCCAACTCTATCCACTGAGCCAAACCAGTTAGGACTGGGTTTCTTTTTTTTTTTTTTTTAATTATTTCATGGAGGTGGAATGTTTGCTTATTTAGTCCTTAGATTATTAAAAGTATGGTTTGTGATTACTTAGGCCAGTGGTCGGCAAACTCATTAGTCAACAGAGCCAAATATCAGTACAATGATTGAAATTTCTTTTGAGACCCGAAAACCGACTTCTGTGTATGGGCCATGAAGTTTCAATCGCACTTAACAGTGCGTGTCCACAAGTGGTATTTTGTGGAGAAGCCACACTCAAGGGGCCAAAGAGCCACGGCTTGCAGACCACTGACTTAGACAGTCAACATGGCTTCGCTAAGACAAAAATATGCCAAACTGTATTTACTTTTTTGGTAGTCATCACTGTCTTGAAAATGGCCTTAAGAATAAATGGAGATGACGAATGTTAGATGAGTTGTGAGGGGTGGGGGGTGGGATTTGTGAGGAAGGACCCTACAAGGTTGTATTCTTCTCTTTGTGTTGTTCAATGCTTTTAATCTACAAATTGGGTAGAGGTGTAATGGTATGGTAATACATAATGCCATTTATAAAGTGTTTGTGCCAGGCACTGTGGCTATGTTGCTCCCATAATCTGTAGCAAAGATGGATGGTGTTTCACCTATTTTATAGATGGGAAACGGGTTCAGAGAGCTCATTCGCCAAGAATCACACTGGTAGAAAGAGTCTGCAGTAAAAGTTCCTGAAATTTATCTTACAAACATCTGCTTCCTAGTTGTTTAGGTGAGGTTATTTGGACCCAACCTTCCTGGTGAAAATGCTGGGTAGGATTTTTTTAAGTTAAAAAAAAAAAAAAGTTTATGAAAACTAGAATAATACTTAGATGTGTTCAAATTAAAAAAGATATACATCAGGTGGGCCCAGGTTAACCTTAAGAAAGTTGACTAGGCATACAGGTACTGTTGACTGGTTTCTTCATGTGCTAATATATGTGTAAAATCTGTAAATGTTGATCTTGGGACGAGCCATTCACTCCTCCTAACTGCCATTATCTTCTATTCTCTGGGTGGGAGGTGGAGTCTAGGATGGAGTGGGAAGGGCTAGAATCAAAGGTTTAAAAGGGTAGTTTCTCTTGTAGACTTTCTTTCCAGTGAAAGGATACTTGTAGCGAATGCCATGGTAAGATTTGATTCTTGTTTAAAACTGGATTCTTTTAATATTTCTAATTTTCTGACCGTTTCCTCTTGTTCTTGATTAGTATTTAGTAAGATATTTTTCTAAGGGCCAGCTTGTTTTTCATACATACTTCAGTGCCTTGGCCGGACGGGTAATGATGGGGAAGAAGTTCTAGGGAAAGAATTTACAGAACACTGTTTCATACAACTGTCCCTTCCTACCTGCAGATTTACCTTTCAGTCTAAAATCTCGGACTCTAAGGCTTTAAGATTGGTTTTTTTTGTTTTGTATTGTTTCTAAATGAGGGAGTTCCTACCAAGGTTTCTTCCAGATCTCAGGATTCCAGGAATCTGTGGAGCTTTTGGGTTTGTTATGTTTGTTTATACTGTGGTGCACATTTTCAGAGGGACAAAGGGGGAGGCATAGCATTTTATCCGTGAGGTGCTTGTTTAGAGATAGAGAAGAAGGAAACTCCCTTTTGGAGAGGTAGTACGAGCGGCTCCTTTCCCAGATTCGCCAGGGGGAGGATGGGCCTCTTCTGGCATTAGCCTACCTGATACATAGTATGCCTGCCGCATCCGTGGTGCCTGGTGTAGTGCCTGGCATAGCGTAGGCATTAGGAAGAATAGCTTGGCATCGATTGAAGTGAAATAGATGTGTTCTTAGAAGCAGAGACTATCACGCTCTCGTTGTTTTCCTAGGAACACAGGCAGACCTACGGGAACACTCGGGAACCTCTCCTGGAAAACCTGACGAGCGAGTATGACTTGGATCTCTTCCGAAGGGCACAAGCCCGGGCTTCAGAGGACCTGGTGAGTATCACTGAGGACCATTTGTGAAGAGCAGTTCGCCCAAGAAAAAGGACCGATGGTTTGATGGGAATGAATGTACCTTGCTGCTTGAATCCCTTTCCCCTTCCCCCAGCTATCCTTTTGGAGACTCTTTCCCTTCCCATTCATATTTAAAATTCATCACCCCTCCTCCCTTCACCTCATTTCCTGACGGGACCTGTTTGCTGGAGGTGGTTAGCTGGATAGAACAATAGGTTCCCCCTTGCCTCTAGCAATTTGCAATTCTGAGAACCTGTGGACTGGGAGATACCCCCTGTGGTTCTCTTAAACCGGAAACCCCCCTTTTCAGGAGTGCCTCAGCCCTATAGTGCTGCTATAAAGGAATAAAAAGAATATTGAAGAGGGATAATGGAAAAGGCTGTTGTCAGACATTTTAGAGTTAATCTTTTGACAAATCCAAGTTTTACATACTAAGCTGGTTTTCTGTTCTGGTTTTTATTAACAGTTAACATTTCGTTTTGGTACTATTGGTAGAATTTTCAGTAAGTTTGCTTTATGAAAATTGTGATTGATAAAATGGGTTGAGGGGATCTCTGTAAAGTTAAATGTCCTCTCTTTTGTTTCTTTAAATTGTATTGACTACTTCATTTAAAAACCCTCTGATACGCTTGTGGAAAGTTTTATAGGCGGCAGGGCTTGCTAGCCTTGGCTAGGCGGCTTTGCGGGTTTTCTCTAGGAGTACTCCGGCATCAGGACTAGTCTTTCTTAATGCTCTGTCCGATTGTGCTTTAAAATTCTGTAGCCTGCTGGAACCGGTTTGGCTCAGTGGATAGGGCGTCGTCCTGCAGACTGAAGGGTCCCGGGTTCCATTCCAGTCAGGGGCATGTACCTTGGTTGCGGGCACATCCCCAGGGGGAGGGTGTGCAAGAGGCAGCTGGTCGATGATTCTCTCTCATCGATGTTTCTGACTCTCTATCCCTCTCTCTTCCTCTCTGTAAAAAATCAATAAAATGTATATTTTTTAAAAAATTCTGTAGCCACTGAGTGGAGGTAGATAGCCAAGCATATTTTCTGCTTTCTGGATTTAAGATTTCAGAGTGAAAGCACTGTCCATGTTTCAGAAATACTTTTTAAAGTACCTAGGTTGAGAGGGTGGTATATGCCACATAGATGTACATAGGGCTGGAAATATGTAAAAGCACGTTCTAGATATTTTTTCTGTTTAATTTTAGAATGTTTTATAAAAGGTGGGGAGTTTATATTAGTCGTAGATTGCCTTTGAGAGTTCAGTTTGGCTCAGACTGGTAGGAACACAATTTTACCAGAGACTTGCTCTGATGTTCCAGAGAGGAGACCTCTGGGAAAGTAGCAGAGAAAAGCTGTTTTGTTTTGTTTTTTTACTGGGATCTATAAGCCTTCCTTACTATCCGTGGCCATGTAGCCATTCCTCTTCAGTTAGCTTCTTATGAGTTTAGAAGCCAAATGGGTCTTTTTTTCCCATAGCTTAGCATGATGGCGTTCACATAGGTTTACAAAAACGAAGGTGATTACAGTTGGCATGGGTTTGAACTTTGCAGGTTCACTTAAACATGAATATTTTTCAATAAATACTACAAATGTGCCGAAACCGGTTTGGCTCAATGGATAGGGCGTCGGCTTGGGGACTGAAGGGTCCTGGGTTCGATTCTGGTCAGGGGCATGTACCTTGGTTGCGGGCATGTCCCCAGTGGGGGGTGTGCAAGAGGCAGCTGATCGATGACTCTCTCTCATTGATGTTTCTAACTCTCTATCTCTCTCCCTTCCTCTCTGTACAAAATCAATAAAATATATAAAAATAAATAAATAAATAAATAAATACTATTAATACAAATGTATTTTCTTTTCCTTATGGTTTTCTTAACATTTTCTTTTCTGTAGCTTAAATTATTGTAAGACTACAGTATATAACATACTAAAAACGTGTTTATCAACTGTATGTTATTGATAAGACTTACAGTCTACACTGTATACTATTAGTGTTTATATTTTGGTGGAGTCAAAAGTTAAACGCCATTTTCAACTGCATGGAGCGCGGTGTTGGTGACCCTAACCCTCCATATTGCTCAAAGGTGAACTACAATTGTAAACCTCCTTTGACTTCTGATTTCTTCTTTGTAACAGGAGAAGTTAAGGCTGCAAGGCCAGATCACAGAGGGGAGCAACATGATTAAAACAATAGCTTTCGGTCGCTATGAGCTTGATACTTGGTATCATTCTCCCTATCCTGAAGAATATGCACGACTTGGACGGCTCTACATGTGTGAATTCTGTTTAAAGTACATGAAGAGCCAAACGATACTCCGCCGACACATGGTATGTTGCCTGGGGTTTCATGATCACGTTGGCAATAAGCAATAGGATCTCTACATTTTGACATACATCTTAATGGACAATTATCTGAGCATCTCTCAGTGGTCCACAGTAATGGGATGAAGGCATAGGAAATCAAGAGCCACATTTAGGGTGGTGGTACACAGCCTGTGGCTTGGCTGGTGCTGGCTGTCACTTAAAGCAGCCAGTGGTCTTTATCCACATCCCATCATACACATCTCCCTGTCTTTTTTCTTGCTGCTCACTCTTTTACATTGTTCCTTTGCATATGGATAACCTCTGCCTTTAGTTTTCAAAATAGACTTCATTAACAGAATGGGTTGTCCTTGGTACCTTCTGAAGTTGTTGAGTACTTTTTTTTTTCTTTTCCTTCCTGAACATGCTTCTTTTGGAAATAAAGACTTGAATCTGATTTTATTATTGACAAATATGCTTATTAGCTATTTTGCAGCTTTAAGCCACCTTTCTTTTTAAATCTTATTTCTATAGTCATAACATAATTTGGCTCTAGGGTGTCTCTCCTTCCCCTTCCATCTTTATTTCCCAAGGTTTCCATATGTTGAACCTCCATAATCCAGGCTCCCATGGTTTCTGTTCTTACATTCTTCTCCCCAGTTTGGTGATACTTTCTTTGTGTGTGTTTCCAACTCTGAAGCACACAACCTGTAGCATTGTGGCCCGACACCACTCCTGTGAAGGAAGCCCTTCAGACTCTGGCATGCTCGACTAGGGATGAGACTGGAGTGCTGGAGGGGCGGTGATGGGCAAAGACTGGTGGGGAGGGGGCACTAGGGCACAGGGGATGATGGTATCAGAAGGACTCATCTCCATGATTGTAGACCCTGGAGACAAACTAAAATATGGTGTTGCTATGTGAAAATAAGACTGATACTTTTATTGGTGTGAACTACTTACCATTTTCGCCATTTTTTTTCTTTTTGCTTCTGGTTATTTACTGACACTAACCAGTAAAACAGCCAAAGGGGGCAAGAATTAGTAATAGGTGGAGAAAACAGGGTCTGGATAAATCTGAAGGTTATGTAAGCATTCTGATTTTTTGAGGATCTCTACTGTATTATATGAATTATAAAAACCAGATTTTAGGAAATAAAAATCTGCTTTAAGCCATACTTCTGATTCCTATTGCTTCAGGCATAATCATTGAATTGGGTGAGTCCAGTTTGGTTTTTGTTTCTAAACAAATAATTGTGTTTGTTTTTGGGAAAAGCCACATGAGTAAAGGGGTGGTGGTAATAGGGACAAACTATAGATGGAACTTTCTCAAAGCAATTCCAGTTACTATTTGGATTTGCATGTGACAAATTAGGTCTTGATTCTTTTAAAAAATATATATTTTTTTATTGATTTCAGGGAGGAAGGGAGAGAGAGAGATGGAAACATTAATGATGAGAGAGAATCATTTACTGGCTGCCTCCTGCATAGCCCCCACTGGGAATCAAGCCTGCAACCTCAGCATGTGCCCTTGACCGGAATTGAAATCCAGACCTTTCAATCCACAGGCTGATGCTCTATCCACTGAGCCAGACTAGCTAGGGCGGGTCATGTTTCTTAAGTTGACCAAAAGTCATAATAAAATATAATGGAAAACGTTCTGGATATGTAGGTACATATGCTTTCTAAATGTATTTACATCAAACCTTTCAAGAATTCACCTATTTACAGCAGTGCTTTTCAACTGGTGTGCTGCAAGAACTTTTTAAAACATACAATAATTGACTATTTAGTCAGAGGCACTGACATCTTTCCCCTTAGATTGGCAACGCAATAGCCGTCTGTGCATTGTGAATGCCCTGTCTTAAACCATAAATATATAGGTCATATAATAGAGCTGCATCTTATTAGTCAGGTTGCATAATAAGTTTGCATCTGATTAGTTAATTCTTTCTTAGCGGGGGTAGGGGGTGGAGGGGCTTCTGGGGAGAGAGAAATGTGGGAGTGTAACATTGATCAGCTGCCTCCAGAACACCCCCAGGGAGGGACTGAGCCCTCCTGAGCATGAGAACCTTGGCATGTGACTTGGCCAGAATTGAATGAGCAACCTTTTTGGTGCATTGGATAGCGCCCAACCAACTGGGCCACACCAGCCAGAGCTGATTGGTTAATTCTTGGTACCAGAAATTCTTTTAAACAAGTGTAGGCCTGATTTTTTTTTAAAAAGTAACCTTGGAACAAAAAGAATAGGTAATTAATATTTTTTAAAAAATTATACCCTTTTTTTGGGTCAGGTTTGTAAAAAATATATTTTGGTGTGCTGAGGAATTTTAGTAATTAGTTTATGTGTGCCTGAGATGGAAAAGGTTGAAAATCGCTGATTTACAGCAATGGCTGACGCTGCTTTAAATCTATTAAGGATTGAGAGTAAGGAAAAGGGGTACCTTGTGCCCCCTTGTGGCCAAGTGCCCTTCCGGCGCTGCTGGGGGCCACCCTCCACCCCAGTCTGACCCAGCTTCCTGCTGCTCAACCAGGCTGCCTTGCTTCCCCCCACACTTTTTTTTTTTTTTTTTTTTTTTTAACAGAAGGATTTGCTCCTATTTCCTTATGTAACAAAGGGGATACTTGGGGGCAACCAGAGAAGTTATGGGTAAAGGTGAGAGTAAAGTACTTCTATCTTAATAACTCTAAGCTGCTTGAAATAAGCTGCTTAAGGATTTCCTGTTGTTGCGAGGCATTTTCTAATAAGCAAGGCTATTTTTATTTATCTGGCTTTCATGTAGTAGATGGTTTTAATCTCATGGATTGAAACGATGCCAGAATATAATCCGGAAAACTTATTTCAAACTGCTAGAAAATATCATAAATATATGACAGTGACTTAGAAGCCATAGGTTGTTATACTGAACAAATCTTGTTTTGCTGCATGTTCTCAGTGTGTTCAGCTATCTGTCATCTCAGCTGACTACAATTGTAGTTCTTTTTGCTTCTGAGCAGCAATCTTGCTGGGAAGGCTTGTTCCCCTGATGTCAGTTCCATCTCTTGCAGGCCAAGTGTGTGTGGAAACACCCACCTGGTGATGAGATATATCGCAAAGGTTCGATATCCGTGTTTGAAGTGGATGGCAAGAAAAACAAGGTAAAAAAAAGTGGTGACCTATGAAAGTGGGGTGGTTGTACATTGGCAGGTTTCAGAAGGAATTTGTTTTGTGTCCATCTCACCTTGTAAAGAAGATATAGCTCTTCTGTTGGCCAAAACACACACTTCTTGCTTCATTAACTGTAATGGTCTGATTTTAGGCCTTTATCTGATACGTTCAGGAGTCACTGGCCCACACATAAACTCTGTTTTTCTGCTTCCAGATCTATTGCCAAAACCTCTGCCTGTTAGCCAAGCTTTTTCTGGACCACAAAACATTATATTATGATGTGGAGCCCTTCCTGTTCTATGTTATGACAGAAGCGGACAACACTGGCTGTCACCTGATTGGATATTTTTCCAAGGTCAGCAGGATCTGGAGATTAAGAAGCTAATGGTTGGAGCAGGGTGATTGATGTTGGCACATGGGAACGCAAATCACTGGCAGTAAAAGGTCATATTCTGGATAATGATGACAGCCCTTCCCTTTTTAAAAAAAGGAAAATCCATATCCAAGATTATTTAATGAAAATGTGCCATTCTTTATTAAAAGCTTCTGGTTTTTTCATTTCTGGACTTACGGGTTGGAAATGCCTATTAATTACCAGCCAGAGCCCTGCCTACCAACCCACAAGCCCACAACGTGTAGTCAAGCCAACTCTCCTGGCTTTCCTCCCTTCTATGTTACTAGCTCGAAACCAGGAGTATATTTCTTTTGCTATATTTTTGGGGGGGAAACAGAACACAAAAACATTGGCTTCTTTCCATGATAATGCCACAGTGTCTTTCAAGACTCAAAGCCAGAATGTGTTTATGACTTTTTATTAAAAATATAGCTCCCATACCATACAAGTCACTTATTTCAAGTGTACATTGATTTTTAGTGTAGTCACGGAGTTGTGCAATTTTCATAACCTCAGTAAGGAAGCCTGTACCCATAGCAGCACTCCATTTCCACTGCACCCCTCCCAGCCCTTCTGTCTCTTGTAGACATTTTGCATAAGTGGAATCCTATTGTATATGATTGGATTGTTTTTGACCTCCTTCCAGAATGGGGACTTACTGTTTGGGATCTCTCCCTTCACCAGTAGGCAGTCAGCCCCAGCCCCCTTTTGAAAGATTGCTTTTGAAGGGAGCTGCTTTAGCCTGACTCGTCAGTCTAATCCTTTTGGCCCCACTCTGTGGCTATAAAGAGCCAGAGTCAGCCCCCTTAAGATGAGCCTGGAGGTCACAGAGCTGGGGAAACCCTGGGATTAATGGCTTTGGCCATCCTAGAGAGTAACAGCTGTGAGCGGACAGCCACTCCCAGGACTGGTTAGCCAGATACTTTGCAAGCAGCCTTATTTTGTATCTGTGGGACTGCTGACACCTTTAGTTTTAAACCCGTATGACCTGCTCATCTGTTTGCTCTTGATTCTAGGAGAAGAATTCATTCCTCAACTACAATGTATCCTGTATCCTTACTATGCCCCAGTACATGAGGCAGGGCTACGGCAAGATGCTCATTGATTTCAGTAAGTGAAACTGCTAAGCTCCGAATGGCAGGGAACATGTGAATATTGTCTTTTTTGTCCTGCGGTCTCTACAATTCCTGGTGTGTGGCCTATGTATGCTGATATTAAGTGAATGAGCAAGTTGGCAAAATCTGAATGTCATCAGTTGGTCTGGTACACATTGAATACAGGACCCTGAGCTTGGTAGCTGATAGTAGGAGATATAGAGGAGAATAAAGCAAGGTTGTTAGGATGATCCCAACTTGAGATTTATGAACAGACAGTATATGCATAAGACATCAAATCTGTTCGTGAACGTTGGGGGTTTCAGTTTTGTAAGGGCTTTTCTAGAGGCAGCCTGTAAACCTGATAGAGGCTTTGGGCCTCATCAATTGTGGCTTCTGTATTTGGGAATTTGCCTACTATTCCTAGAACTAGAACTTTATTTGAACCCCCCAAATCAATATTCTTGGCAGAATATTGGCAGCAATACTTTTGCTGTCCTTTGTGGATATGTGTGTAATACCAAAAAAGTCACCAAGCATTTCCACCTGAGGTCAAGGTGCCTTGTTTCAGCTCTCAGTATAATCAAGTGTTCTTTCTATGGTCTGTTAGTGTCACTTTTTCATGTTTTTGTTGCTGATTTTAAATGGCGCCAAACCTAGTGCTGAAATACTGTCTAGAAAGGATTTGATGTACATTATAGAGAAATATAAAGTGCATCAAATTATGCAACCACAGATAACAATTGCTATTAAAGTTTCTATTAGCCTTTCAGAATTTTTCAGTGTCTTATAGTCAATGCAAATACACATTCTTGCCCTTTTGCTACACAAAGGCAGCATACTATACTCTACAATAGCTATATAGTATTCCATTGAATGAATCTAATGGATACTGCAGAGACTTCCATACAACCTCCGTATTGGCACATGGTTCTTTTCTGTGAAGATGGGATATGGAGTTGCTTAAAAAAGCCTGTGTTTGTTCCCTGGCAGGTTATTTGCTTTCCAAAGTGGAAGAAAAGGTTGGCTCCCCAGAACGTCCCCTCTCAGACCTGGGGCTCATAAGCTATCGCAGTTACTGGAAAGAAGTGCTGCTTCGTTACCTGCATAATTTCCAAGGCAAAGAGATTTCTATCAAAGGTTGGTTTTTTACTCTAGAATGGTTGTTACCCAAGATGTTCACTCCACTGAATATTTTAACTTTTCCACTTGGCCCTATTCATGCTTTGTAACCTGCAAAGATAACGCCCCATCCTGTGTTTTATCTGGACCTTACAGAAGGCCCACAGAATATGGGTCTTAGAACTTGATTTCTGTAGGGGCCAAGAATGGTTTCTTGGTGTAATGTCTATCTTTTGGAGTTATTTGGACCGGTCAAATAATGCTTCATAAACTTTTTCTGAGCAGGTTGGGTTGAGTATCAAATGCTCCAACCATCTGGAGGCCCTTTGCACCTCCTGTAAGGGACAGGTCTTGGAGGGAGATTGTTTAGGGAGTCTGCATTTGGCAAGGTTCTTAGTGGTCTTCTATTTCAGAAATTAGCCAGGAGACAGCTGTGAATCCTGTGGACATTGTCAGCACTCTGCAAGCCCTTCAGATGCTCAAGTATTGGAAAGGAAAACACCTAGTTTTAAAGAGACAGGTCAGTTTTTATCACCTGCTTGCTCATTAATGAATGTTCCTGGAAGTCTAAAGAGCAAAGTGGGGCCTTAATAACCCAAGGCAGTGGTCTGCAAACCGAGGCTCGAGAGCTACATGCATCTCTTTGGCCCCTTGAGTGTCGCCACTTCAAAATAGTCTTGCCCAGGCCAAAAACCAACTTCTGCACATGGTCCACGAAGTTTCAGTCGCACTGTACATGCACGCCCACATGTAGCATTTTGTGGAAGAGCCACATTCAAGGGGCCAAAGAGCCACATGTAGCTGGTGAGCCGCGGTTTGCCAACCACTGCCCTAAGGGAATGTAACTGTCCCTTCCTAAAGGAGTTTGACTATGTGAACCTTTTTATATGGACTCGTTTCTTTAGCGTGCAGGGATGCTTCCATTGGCTTATCCTATCAGAAGCTTTTGGTAAGCTCCTGTCTCGTTTGGATGGCACTAGTTAAGCAGCTGTATGTTGTACAACACTTCTGTTATTCAATAATTTTCTTAGATTGGAGAAAATGACTCATCTGTAGAGGGGAATAAATAAAATCCAGGGCTTGTGAAAGTGGTTTTAAATTCCTTCCAGAAAGCCATCTCAAATCCATGTTTAACTTTTTAAAAATATTTTTTTATTGATTTCAGAGAGGAAGGAAGAGGGAGAGAAAGATAGAAACATCAATGATGAGAGAAAATCATTGATTGGCTGCCTCCTGCTTGTCCCCCATTGAGGATCCAGCCTTTGTCTCGGCATGTGCCCTGGAAACGGAACTGTGACCTCCTGGTCCATAGGTTGATGCTTTTCCACTAAGCCACATAATCTGGGCCATTTTAAATATTTTTAGTTGACTCATTTATAAGTATATAATTAGGGAAGATGAATAATGATTTTCAGCTATTACTAAGGCTATAGTAGGAAGAAATGGATTAGGTAGTAGTGAAGCATTTTGTAAATTAAAGATAATTTTTTACACCTTGTATGTTATTAAACCTTCGGTGATTCCTTTGCTGACAGTCATGTTGGAATTACAATATATATAATGCCATTTTAGTTTAATGTGTGTAATTTTCCCCATTTTTCTCCTCTAGGACTTGATTGATGAGTGGATAGCCAAAGAGGCCAAGAGATCTAATTCCAATAAAACCATGGATCCCAGCTGTTTAAAATGGACCCCTCCCAAGGGCACTTAAAGTCACCTGTTACTCTTGAGCCAGCGAACCCCAGCAGTAGGAATCCGTACCCTAGGGATCTGTCTGTCATTTCTGTTGCTCTTGTGATTGGCAAGTACAGTATCCTTTGGGAAGGCCATCCCCTCAGGACTGTCCTGGCTCCGACCTTCATGTACACTGCAGACGCTGGTTCTGAGGAACTGTTGTTTCGGCCTCAGTGAGGTTGCCCGGATGGGATCTATATTAGACTTGAGTGCAGGTCCCTCATAGCACTGACCCAAGGTGCTCTGTTTGGTACTGTACCTGTCCAGTCACCGGTCTGTCCTCATGTTCTCTAGCCCCATGAGCTGGTGTCGTGTCTCCTAAACTTGTCATAGTGCTTCTTGCCGCCTGGTCGCCAGACCTCCAAATACAGTTGCCACTGCCGGGACCTTTCCAATTATTCCTCACATGTGGTTTTTGGATGGGCAGGGAAGAGGTGACACTTTGAGTATGTGTGCTGGGAGGGGTCCATTCCTTTTGGATTTCATCTCACTTTAAATATTGTCCTCCGTTTTTATGGAATGACTTGTTTTTATCAGTATCAGGCTGACCAGAGCCAAATGCTTTTGAAGCTTCACCCAGGGATTAGTCTTGAGAACCGCATGTCATCTCTGAGTGAGATGGAGAGGGGAGAGGTGGTGATTCTGTGCTGAGTTCACCTGTGGGCAGCGGGCCACGTCTTGGTGGAAAGGAAAGAATGCTTTTGGCCTCACCAGAAAGTGCCCAGCGGTAAACGTTTTCTTCCCTCTTGACTCCATGCCCCTTTTTATGTTTGCAGGTGCCAAAATAATTTCCAGTTCTCCCTTTTATGCTGTATGTTAACTGGTTCATTAACTGCAAAACCATTTTCACCAGTACCAGTCTGCTATAGCACACCTTCACTTCCACATAAGTTGCACTGATTTTTGTCTGAACATCCTCCGAGAAGTGGAAACTAATTGAGAAGTATCTCCACCCATGATTCAACCAGGCGGAATGGCCACCCCGCCCAGGTGTGCTTCTCTGTTCCACAGTGCCTCACCTCCCTCTAGGCTAAGCTTACGCTCATCCAAGAACTCCTCCATTTCCTTTTTGGGGTTTGCCACCATCCCCCTCTTCTCTGACCTCCTCTCTTTGGTGGTATGTAAGTGAAGGAAGAAATGCTCCCTCTAATTTCTCTCTGGCCCATTATAACCTGCTATTTGGGGGCAGCTTTTGATGTCTGACATGTCACCCTTCCCAACCTGATCGCCTATAACACTGCTGTCTTCGTGCGGAGCCCTCGCCACCATCCCGACTCTGGTCATTGTGCCTTTCTCTTGTCATCTCTGTACACTACTTACTATTCACTGTGGGTTGGGGGAGCTCATTTTAAGCATGTTCAGTGGCAGCTCCCTGCCAATTTCAGTGTCACTGTTAAAATTTTATCCAAAAGCAACTTCACTGGGGGCTCTCTTAAAGGGTAAAGGCCTTTTAGTGAAGCTAACCCTTCCCCACCTGTGGTAGAATGTGCTGTTCTATATCTACTCAATAAAGCATGTTCTCTGCTTAAGTCTGTCTCTCCCAGGAGCTCTTATTCCGGAGATGGTGCAGTTCACCTGCTACTGATAGGAAATGCACTTGGGATCTGTTTTCTCTAGCGGTAAACTTTCGAGGGACGTGGTTTGTGGCTGTGGGGTGTCTTTTCTCTGGGACGCAGCCTATCTGCAGAGGGTGTGCTTACTCTGAACCTGTCCAGGTGGTGGGATAAATTCTCTGCCTGCCTTTGGTTCCAACTACTAGGTATGTGTAGCAAGGATTAGTCAGTATTATTCATTTTTTTCATTAAGTTCATTTTCCTCTGTTTTCAAGGGCAAATGAATCAGTAGAGAGTTAGGATAGATGGTCTACAATTAATGGATGCTTGTGGGAAGGTGGGAATAGGTGTTTCCTTCTCATCTCCAGGCTCATTAGCCAGTAGTGAGCTGTATCACCTCTCATCCTTGACTCTCGGGTTGCCAGATTCCTGAAAGTAGCTCTATTTTCCTATTTTCCTGCAGCGTTTACCCAGTACAGGGGAAGGGAGGTTGGGCACTTACCTCTATGATGGAAAGGAGGAGGGTGGGGATTGTATTTGCTGGGGTGGTTTTGCTCACCATGGCCAGTAGTGGTGAGAACCCATCCCTGCGGGCAGCTAAGGGTCCTCCTTTGTGTGTCACTTGGGGGTGGGAGGTGGCAGGAAGAGAATCTTAAATAAAATGATGCTTAATATTTTTCTTAGTATATGCTGTGTGCCCAAATCTCACTGTTCTAGATATTTGCATCAAAGGGAAATTATGCTTTCACATTTTGACACAGTTGAAGTCGGTAACATTGACCATGGGATTGGGATGGTGAAAGGTCAAACACTTGAAGCTTTATACACAGTCTGGGTTCCCAACCTCTACTGATTGTCACCCCCTTTCTTTTCATATGGATACAGTAACTTCTCAACATCAATAAGTTCTGTGCCTTTAAGTGAAATTATGTTACCAAAACCAGTTGTATCATAGCTAATTGATATAAACAGAGTTAAGTTTCTGCCTCATCTCGTCAACTTACAACAAAATATCCAATAACATAGAATGAAATGGTGTCATTCAAGGTCCTGCTGTAAAAGGAAGATTTCTCTGGTTTAAATCACAGGAACAGTGTTAAACTTTCAGTAAAACGGTCCATACCCTCTGACTCCTTTTTTATCTGCACGAAAGAATCCCAGCTGCTTAGGCTCCTTCATGAGAAGAGCAAGTCTGGCCTTATTCCTGTATCCAGCTCCTGACTTATCATCCTCTCCTCGTTAGATTTCCTTGCTGTAACCACAGGCTCCCTTGCTTCTAGTGGCTTCCACTGCAGGAATAATAATGGATCTGGTGAAAACTTTTGGATAAAGGATTTTAGTTGATTCTTTAAGCAGCAGGTGGGGACCAGAGACTAACCAGGTAGTAAAAGCTATGCACATTCTGGCTCTGCTGCTGATTTAGGAATAAACTGTTTAGTAAGCATTGGCCCTTAAGTGGCTTCCTTCAGTCCTCACACATCACTGCAAGGTGGGTATTCTGTCCCTTTTCCACATGAGAAAATTTGCGGCTCAGGTCTTGTTGCTGAGATGCAGGAACGGAATGAGCCCTGGTTCTCAGATTCCAAATTCCATACTTGACAGTGCTATCTGGTCGCCTCTGTCCCTGGCTGCCCATTTCTCAACAGTGAATGAGTCATTTAATTTTTAACATTGTGTACCCTTGATAAAGCAAGACGATGGTTTGACTTGTCAGCTTCACTTTATCCCTTTAGTTCTGGACAGGCCAAGCTGGGGTTAGGAATGTCCTCAAGTGAAGTTCAAGGTCAAGATTGGAACTACATATGAAAAGCCAGTATAGGGAAATGGACCACAGCTTGCTTACAGTACACATTCCTTCTGGAATAGGAAACTACTGAGAAGTGGCTTTTGGGATCTAAGTGACTTTCAGGGTGGTCCTACACACGCCTGCCAAATGACATTAAAGAGACTGGTTATAAGAGGTGCTAAGACAAGCAGCTCAGCTCAGCAGTGATCATTGCTTATGAAAATGTAGGTATTGAGTCTAAAATTCACGTAATGAAACCACACATTTGTGTATAGCTGAAAAATAGAGCCCTCGAAGTCCATTCCTGGACGGGGGTTAAGCGAAAGCAGGGATCTGCCTGCCTTCCCAAACAGAAAGACATAGCTACCCTATTTCCCCTAAAATAAGACAGTGTCTATATTAATTTTTTCTCCCAATGTTGCGCTAGGTCTTACTTTCAGGGGATGTCTTATCTTTCCACACGCTAAGTCTTATTTTCAAGGAAACACGGTAGTTCTTGGTGTGTGCAGGCTCAGATGACCCATTCAGTGAGGGAAAATGACAACTTGGGAGAGGCCTGGCTTTGGACATTATTTTCCTGCAGCCTTGCAGGTGCACGTATGTAGAAAACTACCGGGATTTTGCTTGTTAATGAAAATAAACTAAATGTGATGTGTGCTAGGAGTTCTAGGATTTTAAAAACTATTTTAGCTATGTGTTGGAACCATGCAATGATAGTTGGATCTCCACTGGTTTTACCTCAGCATTTTTTTTACACAAATTGGTGTGGCATCCTCTTTCAGACTGCTTCCTAGCGTTGGGGCAGTATCATTGCCTGCTTCCTTTGTGGCTTCTTCAGCAAATACCTGTAAACATTACTGAGGAAGAAAGGACTGTCCAGTGATGAAGTGTCCCTGGTGCTGAACTGCCAGTTGCATCTTGTGCAACACTTACAGACGCAGGGGACACCACCACTGCTTCGGGTTTGGGGTTTGCTTATTTGTGCCCAAGAGGAGAAAATAACCTGTGCCATTGCACAACTTTGGCTCCGTTGCCCTCAGATCTGTCAGATATAAACACCTTTGTTCTTGACAAATCGTTCATTCCAAGAAATTCGTCTTAACTGGGTATTTGTTTCTGGGAAGAGCTCACTTTATATTTACTCTGTTCTGATGTTATTAGAAACCTGCACTCATCTCACAAAAGAGGCACAGTCCATCACCTCCAGAGATGGCCAGTATGTCCCTTCTCGTGTGTGGGCTGGACTTCTGACTAAATGTGGCAGAATAGCCCTAAGCATCCCGGGGTCCTCTGTGTCTCACCCGCCTATAAACCACTGGGCAGGGACAATGGTCTCCCATCAGGCTGGGGCTCCCTGAGGGTGGCAAGTGCTTCATTCCTCTGGATCTCTTGAATGCCCAGGGAATGACTGACTGCCTGTGCCCCATCGTCAAGCAGTTACCCTCTACAAGAGAATTGATGAAGGACCTGGGATCCAATTCTCCAACTCGGAAGCCACATGGATTTGGGTCCTTGAGTCCATGACTGAGTAGGGAGAGTATGTCTGCATTCAGGCTGGGCTCTTGGCCTTCCTGTGCTGCAAACCCGTTTTCCCATTCAAGGGTGGGGATCAGGCTGTTAGTATTGCCCTTTGCAATTCTGGGAAAGGCCGCCTGGCCTGCTGATGTGACAAACTGCTGGGCACGGTGGAGAGCCCAGGCCACTTCTGCCCTCTGCCCTGTCCTGGAGAAGCCATCACTGTTCATTCCTTTATTGAGCCCCTACTATGTCTGGGCACAGGAGATAGAGAAGGGGCGGGACAGACTCATCCTTATGCAATGATATAAGAGTACTGAGGGAGGACAAAGTCAGACCAGCACGAGACTGTGACAACAGTGCCCGTGTATGCATGGCCGCTTCTTGAGACCGAGAGTCCTGGGACGGATACCACGGTGAGCCTGGTGGGACATGGCAGTGCTGAGCACAGGACAGACACAGAGAAGAGAGTTGGCCTGGCCGGCTGGTCGCTATAGCATCCAGGGATGGAGAAGGGTTTTCATTTCTGGGAAGCATGTGATGGGGCTCTCCCTCTGACCCGTGGTCCTCATGCTCAGCCTGGGAAGAGTTTTGTACATGGACGGTGGTTAAGGGAGTGTTGCCTGGCTCTTCCACCCTTGGAGGCCTTCCCTAGTCATTCCATTCACGGCCCTTCATTTCCCGAATTCATGTTTCCGGCTGTAGATATCTATGGTGACCCAATTACAGACTTATCTGCCACATCTTCCATTATTCAGTCATACGTGCCTCAGGAGCATGGACAGAGCCAACCCTCAGGTGTCCTCTGTAAAGGAAGGGACATGGAAAGCCAGCATTAAAATCCCAAAGGCCCTCCTGGGGCGTGGGAAGTGCCTTGGACAGGAAACAGGAAACACATCTTTAGCTCTGGCTCTGTTACCGGCTCACTGATGACTTAGCATTCCTGCCCACATTCTGCATGGGGACATTCATTTCCATTTTAGTATCGGGGTGACTCCCATGGCCCTTCAAATGGAATGGCTCACACACTTAGGAAAAAATCTTGGAGGAAAGTAGAAGATTCCCCCATCTTTATCCCCAAGAGCCTGTGTTGGAAGGAGCAGGCGTTCTGTTAGGAAAGTGAGAGACCTGCTACCTGACGGTGGGAGGGTTCCCACTCTAGGGACCCCAGCCATGGGACCCAGGAGGACAGTGTGGTGTGCCAAGGATACCATCATGCCCAGGCCAGGGAAACCAGCTCCGTCTGGGTAGGGCAGGTGGTCAGGTAAGGAGAGATGGAGCTAAAAGTTAAGTGAGAGCAGCCTCGAAGGATGTGGTAAGTCCTTAGGCCATTGGTCTTGATCCTGAGAGCACTGGGGGTGAGGGGTAGGAAGGGAGAGGGTGGGGAAATGCTGGTTGATTTTCTTTTGGTTTTGTTTTCCCTTTTCACCAAAGAGTTCTAGGCTGCTCAGATTTGCTCTTTTAAGATCCTTGAGGGTGCAAGGTGGGAAATGGATTGATTCATTTTTCCAATTCTAGGCTTTAGGTAAAAATTCTCCAAGGTAATTTTGAACCTTTGGCAGAACCGAATTCATCCCGGCTTCCTTGTCCCTGCACCTACTCCCTAGGCGTGCACAGACCACCAGGCCTGAGGAAACAACCAGGAAGCAGAGCATGTGGCCAAACCACGGCTGGCCCCACCCTTGGCAACGCCAGCCTGGCATGTGTGCCGTTGGCCAGAGATCCTCCCTGGCTTGTTAGAGGCCAGGACGACTCCACCCTCCCCAGGGAGCATGCAGAGGGAAAGGTCTGGCCAGCACTCAGCCGTTTTTCTCTTTGGCTGGGTAGGAGGAATTCCTGGAAAAAAGGGGAGAAGGAATAAGGGCTGCACGGCTCCCCTGGGGGCTGGGTGAGGTGGGAAGGGCTCTGTGGGGCTCAGTGCCTGAGCTGGGTCCTCAGTGGAATTGCGGGTACTCCCCATTGTCCTCGTGTGGCTGAGTGTCGTGGCTGCTCCTGCGGGGAGGCAGTGTGGAGGAGTGGGAAGTCATTGGCACCAGGCTCTGCTGGGGCATCCTTGCAAACACACTGAACTCATCTGAACCTTAGTTTCCTCACCCCTGGTGAAGGGACTGTGGTGAGATTTAATCACATGTGAGCATAGTAGGCGCTCAATAGATGTTCCTCTTATACTCCTACCCTCTGCTTCCCATGGGTTGTTGGATTTGGAAGAGAACTCTGAAGTGGCCTGGTCTAAAACTCATCTTGTCAAGGAGGAAACCAAGGCCAAAAGTGTTTGGTAACAAGTTGGTTTTCTCATTTTTATATTTTTTATTATAAAAGCAGTCTTTGAATACTTCCCCACTATAAAAAGAACATGCACTGTAGAGGCTTGTACAGTAAAAATTAAAGACCCTCTCTACTCTCCCTCATCTCCACTTCCTGTCCTAGATATAATGACTGTTGACAATTTGATAATCCTCCTCCTAGAACTTTCTCTATGCATGTGTATGTATGTTTGTGAGTATATCATTTTTTAAAAAACAAGTAGGTTCCTGTCATACATGTTGTTATATAACTTGCTTTTTCCGCTTAACCAGTATCTTGGAGAACTTTCTGTAACTTTCCGCAGATCTGCCGCATCCTTTTCAATGGCCACACAGGCTGTATATGGATGTGCCTAATATATTTTGACCAGGAAGCTAGGGTTCTGGCTCAGGAAATCTGGCTCCAGAGGATCCAAAGCATTTGCCTCTACCCTTAGGGTGACTATATTCCCCTCCTGAAGGCTTTTTATGTATTTCTAAATTCTTGCTATTATAGACACGTCAATGAATGCTCGGGTACAACCTCAGGATTATATATTTCTACTTGATAGATTCCCTGATTCCAACTTTGAGGACAATTGTGAACATTTCCTCTAAATAGACAGGTTGTAAAAGTGCTGGGTCTTTCATACCCTCACCAACACCACTTTAAAAAAATTATATATATAATGTTAACCATAAGAAAAAAAACTGCTCTCTGTCCAGACTGTTATATCCTTGTCCCTCCCCCTCCCCCTCAACATGATTCCCACGTTGAGGGCTCTCTCAGGGAACGCGGGTTCATTTTAATAATTCTATTGGTGTTCGGCTGGCGTGCCTCAGTGGTTGAGCATCAACCTATGAACCAGGAGGCCACGGTTCAATTCCTAGTCATGGCACATGCCAGGGGATCCCCAGCGTGGGGTGTTCAAGAGGCAGCTGATCAATGGTTCTCTCTCATCATTGATGTTTCTACCTCTCTTTCTCTCTCCCTTCCTCTCTGAAATCAATTAAAATATACTAGTATTTTTTTAAAAAATTTAATTCTATTGGAAACAAATAGAACTAGAAAGCTTGGATTGTGGCTTGCTTGGGTCACATCTAGTTACTGATCTGTAGCTCCAAATCCATCCACAGTATCGAAGGCAATGACACCAAATGTGCAAAACATTGACCTCTACCCTTAGGGTGACTATATCCCCATATGCCAGACATATCCCAAGTTTACCTGGTGGAGTTAACACTCTTCCTGCGTCCTGGTTTGGATAATTTATGTGGACACTCTACCCCACCCCACCACATGAGCGACCCCTACTGGCCTGGAAGTTAGGCGCGGGCTTGGTAAAACACCCTCCCAGAATCACTCCTGCATGGGCTGCTCACCTCACTCCTGCTCTGTCACTCACCTCGCGCCTACTTCCCCATCAGCGGAAAGAACTGGCTGGCTTGGTCCCTCTTCACCTCCTGCAGCTGGAGCTGAATGCTGGGGACAGCACCTTCCTGAAAAAGCAGAGTTTGTTAGAGCGAGAGGAGGGCTGGCGGGGAGAGAGGGAGGGCCGCCTAAGCAATAACCGTTTCAGTGACATTTGCTCTGTGCTAGCACTGGGCTCTTGTGCATATATTACACAATATTATGCAGAAATAATAATTTATAGTCAACATTTCACCCACTGTATTCCTGGCTCTGTTCTAAGCACTTTAACATTAATTCTACTTGATCCTCACCAAAACCCCATGATGTAAGTACTATTATGGTCACCATTTTATTTATTTTTTTAAAAAATATTTTTATTGATTTCAGAGAGGAAGAGAGATAGAGATAGAGAGAGAGAGAGAGAGAGAGAGAGAGAGGGAGAGAAACATCAATGATGAGAGCGAATCCTTGATCAGCTGCCTCCTGCATGCCCCATCCTGGGGATGGAGCCCGCAACCCGGGCATGTGTCCTGACCGGGGGAGAGTGACAGTGGGTGACATTCATTAGACCTTCTTCACGTCTCTGCACCCCCAGTGCCTGGCACAGCGCCTGGCAGAGGCTCAGCCCGTGTGGGTTAAAGAACGCTGAAAGGGTCTTTCTCTGACAGCGGGAAGAGGATGGGGTCACCTTTTCCAGGAAGGCTGGAGACAGGGGTGAGAGAGCAAAGTGATGAAGTACCTGCCAGGAGGATGGGAGCTGGGGGAGTAGGAGGATTGGGGGCTTCCTCTTCCATCCCCAATTCACCCTCACCCCCTGCCCTGAGCTCCAGGTACCAGCAGGGACCTGTGCAGAAAACCCCCATTCCCCTCATAGTTCTCTTCGTCCCAACTTCTAGGACCAGAAGTAGATTTTTTTCTAAGATTTGGACCCCTTCCCATCTGTCTCCACCCCGGGACATCAGTGGCTGGGGCAGCTTCTCAGACTGGAATCGCCTGGCCTGGCCAGGAACCGGAAAAGTCTCTTTGGAGATTTGGAGCCATTTCTGGAAAGCTCATGAAAACCACTGCGCCCCAGTAAAAGGCGGCATCAAATACAAGCTGGGGAGAACGGCTATTTATAAATTACATAAGACTCACCTTTCACCCACTGGGTTTGGGGAGGGGGGTTCTTAGGAGACATCCTTCTCTTTCACTCGGGAAGGACTCCTGCCCCCCTCTAAGCCCTCTCCTTAGCCACGTAACCCAGTCACCCTTGAAAGCACTGAGGGCAACTGCAGGCAGGGAGCCTGGGAGCTAGGGAGGGGATCGGATGGCCCCTGGCAGTGCCTCCACGCCTCCCGTCACCTCAGCCCTGTGTCCTGGGAGGCAGAGGGAGGGGTGTTACTGAGAAGAAAGGAGAAAAAGCAGTGGGCCATCTGCTCAGTGAGGTGCGTGCAGGGGGTGAAGTTTATGATGCTCCATGTGGTTGCCTGGGGAGCCCCCGCCACAGCTCGGCTGCCCTATGCCTGGCTTAGGTCCCCTGGTGTTTGGCACAGACGCCTTAAAGCTTGAAAAATACCGTGAGGATCAGGGTGTTTGCCCCCATCTTTCTGGTGAGGAAACGGATCTCCAGAGAGCAGCAGGGACCTCCCCGAGCTCACACGAAGTCCGTGGAGAAGCTGAGACCTGAACCCAGGCCTCCCCGTCCTTTTGTCTTCTCAACTGCACACACTGTCACGCTCAGACACACCAGGAAGGAAGCTCGCCGTGAAGGACTGTTCATTCGATGGCTGTTCCCGTGGCCCCGTGTCCTCACCGTCCTGGGACTAGGAGGAGCCAGGCTTGGCCTTGTCCCACTGTCCATCCTCCTGGAAGCCTTCCCTGAGCACCAGTCCTGGGGGCCCCTCTCCCCCATGTGACCAGAAGCTCCCCAAGGTCAGGATCTTTGACTCTCCTACCGCATGGGGTGGGGCACAGGTGCTGGGTCCCAAACCTCTTGATTTCTCCCCAGCATTTGTCAGGGAAGGAGAGTCCTACTTGTGAGACAAAACAGGGATCCTGCCCAAGTTGCTTCCTTTGAAATTCTGAAAAATGTCTTGATACCCAGATACACAGTCAGACCTTGGGCAAGGGGTGCAGTTGTGCTTCTGAAGGTGCATAACCTTGGACAAAAGACTTGACCTTTCTGTGCCCACTTTTCCTAATCTAGAAAGTGGTACTTTCCCCATCAAGTGGATATGAGAATTAATGTTCATGAGGCATCTAGGACATATATGTTAAATAGGTGTTAAATAGGTCCTCTCTCTACCCCCCACCTCTACTCCCCCTCTCCCATAGGCAGGTGTCCCTTTAGAGCTCAGTCAGGCGAAGGGCCATGGCCTTGAACCCACCTACAGGGGGAAATCAGACCGCCTGCCTTTCTGGACAGCCTGCTCTCCTGCAGCCACGGAGGGGATCTCCACCCCTCCACCACGGACCACCCCCTGCTTTCCCCCAAAGTTACCTCCAGGGTCACGGCTACCAAAGACCCTGCTTTGGTGCCACCGAGTGCCAGTTCCTTGTCACCTGCCACAGTGCAGGCAAGCAACCCCGTCAGGAGAAGCAGAGGGAGGCAGAGCAGCATGGTGAGTGAGGCTCTGGGCTGGGACCCTCTCAGCCTGAAGAGCCGCCTCCAGCAGGCCCGTCCTCTCTCTGGCTCCTTTGTAGGTGAGGGAGGCTCAGCTACCCCGCTTCTGCCTTCCTTCCTCTTATCAGACCTCCCAGGGACATTTCCTGAGACTCCCCGCCCTCCCTCCCAGCTGGAGAGGCCGGCGATATCAGAGGAGGGACCAGACCTCTCGCACCACCGCCCCCAGCAGGATCCCAGGGCTTAGCGCTCTGATGCAACAGCCGCCTCGCCGTTGGCTGCTTGCCCTGTGGCGGCAGGTGCACAATGGGGCAGTGTGTACGACCAGCGCTTCCAGCTTCCTGACCGGAGGCCCAGGGGCCTTGTCCTCTTGGAAATGGGAGGGGAACTGGCTGGCTCCTCCCTCCCAGGTGACCTGCCCCGCCCTGAGAGAGGCCTCTCCCTGGAACTTAGCCAGGGATCCACCACTCCTCTCTCCTTCCCATCACTGAGCCCTGCTTCCTTAATGTTCCCCCTCTGCCCATAGACCCCCTAGAAACACAGGACTTGCCCCAAGGGGGATAAGGAGGCTCCTCACACGTGGGAACTGGGATTTGCCAGAGAAATGGCTTCCTGCTGGAGTCATCGGCTCCGAGCTACCTTCCCACTGTTGCCAAACTGATCTTTCTAAAGCCCTACCCCCACCTGATTCTTCCTGCTTACAAATGCCCAATGTCTTTCCATTGCCCTCGGCATGAAGTTCAAGTTCCCTAATATGGCACTCAAGGCCCTCCTTCACTTAGTTCTGCCCCGCCTCCCATCCATCTATCCATCCACCCACCCACCCATCCATCCATCCACCCATCCATCCATCCATCCACCCACCCATCCATCCATCCATGTAGAACAAGAGACCTGCCATCAGAGAGACCTGAATCCCAGTCTTAGCTCCACCGCTAAGTAGCTGTGTGACCTTAGGCACATTACTCACCCCCTCCAGACCTTAGAGTCCTCCTCTGTAAAACGAGATTAATAATAGCACTTATTTCCCAAGTTGTTGGAGGACGACATGAGCTAATGCATGTGAGGCACTTAGCACAGTGTGTGATGGTAAATATTTAATACCTGTTAACTATCATTACTGTTGTAATCACTGACACTGGGTGAGGCACTCGGCCGCAGAAGAGGAATACGCCGCCTTCTCTGTCCTAAGCATCTCACAGGCCAGGAGAGGGACCCGCTGGCTGGCAGCTAAGCTGTGTTCCATTAGTGCCGGCATTGAGCTGGGACGCCGGGAAATGGGGGAGGGGGTGTCCCCTCCCGGTTTGCCCCATAGCCATTCCCAGCCCCGGGACAGGCTGAGTTTTCACCCCCATGTTTTGGCCTTGGCTGTTGCCTCTGCTTGGATCTCCCTTTCCACCTGGTGGACTCCCACCCAGCCTTAAAGGGCCAGCTTAATGGCTACCTCCTCCATGGAGTTTTTCTGCCTCTGTTCCTAACTCCTTCAAGAACTAGCTGGCTCCTTGTCTGGGCTTTCCCAAGTATCTCCAATTCGTATATACTTCGCAGCTCTCCTTCACTCCCAGGCTGTGTCCTGAGCAGAGGCAGGTGCTGAGAGCAAGAATGGAGGCGAATCCAGCCCCTGCTCTGCTCACGGAGCTGCAGGCCCCAAAGCAGGTGCTTTGCTGTTTCTCCCAGAGGGCCCGTGGGTCTGCCAGATGGGGAGGTGATCATGCCAGGAGGTCTCTGAGAGTGGGCTGTCATACATGGGTGCCTGGCACACAGCAGGTCCTTCAGAAACATGCAGCCTTTCTGAGCTCAGGCCAGAGGAGGCAGCGATGAATCAGGAGTTTTGAGGGAGGACAGCCACACACACCACCTTCCTCCCTTCCAGGAACTTCTGTGGTGGATCCCAAACCTGATGGCTTCATTCGCTAAAATGCAGACTCCCCGGTCCGGCCCTCTGCTGACACAGCCTGCCCTGGTCTGTGGGTCTGTTTCCACATTCCAGGTGGCAGTCACTCAGGCTCCCAGAGAACTCCCCAGAGGCAGTGTGCTTACTACCTCACCTTCCACTCAGACAGTTTTATCTTTTTAAAAATATATTTTATTGATTTTTTACAGAGAGGAAGGGAGATACATAGTTAGAAACATCAATGAGGGAGAAACACAGGTCAGCTGCCTCCGTACACCTCCCACTAGGGATGTGCCTGCAACCAAAGTACATGCTCTTGACCGGAATCGAACCTGGGACCCTTCAGCCTGCAGGCTGAAGCTTTATCACTGAGCCACATCGGTTTCAGCCCACTTTGACAGTTTTACTTCTCACCACCTTTATTTCACAGATGTGGCAACGAGGCAGGTTGGGCTGGCTCCAGGTTACACTGAGAATCGCTGGCAGATGAGAGGCCCCAGTCCTGGGCAAGCTTCCCACTGCCCACGGAGGCCTCTGCCCACAAGAGCAAGCAGCACGGGGCCGAGTAACAGCCTTCGTCTCTGCTGGGGGAGAAGGCTACATGTCCAAAGCGGGTGACCTTTGCACCCGAGGAATATCTCGGGGCCTGTTGCTCCATTTGCAAATTGGGGCCGCCCTTCCTTGGGTAGTGGTCACGATTTCATGAATTCTCACCCGTAAATCGCTCAGCACAGGGCACAGAGCATGCGCTCCATCAATCCTAACTTCATGTTGGTGATTATTTGACCCCTGGAACCCTGGGCCTCAGAGCCGGCTTCCTGGCCCCGCCAGCGAAGAAGCCATCCTGCGTGGGGACAGGATGTGGTGGGTGCCTGGCGGGGAGGTGGCGGGGGCCTTGGGCAGAGGAAAAAGGGAGGCGGGAAGAGGGGAGAGAAAATCCCAAAGATCCGGAAGGCCGGCAGGGACGCGAGGCCCGGGATGGAAACCGCAGCTATTTGCGGCGCTGTCCGGGGCTGCGGTCGGCTGGCGTTCGCGGCCTTGGCATGGGAGCCCGCCGCCCCGCCCGGTGCCCTCGGCCACCCGGGCATGGCCTGGCCGGCGCGCCCCGCCTCTCTCTGTCCACGCGGCCAGGGAGGGGGGTGGCCCTGAGCTGGGTGCTGGCGGGCGCGGGAGGGGGTGAGGAGACCCCGGGGGGCTGGTCCTTCGAGGCGGGTGCGCCCTGGAGGCGCTGGTCTGCCCGCGGGGCGGGGCGGGCTGGGCTGGGCTGTGGCGGACGCCCCGGGCGCGGGGTGGGCCCTCTGGGTAGCTCCAGGCTGCGGTTTGGCTACGGCTGCGGAGCCGGGAGGAGAAGGGGCGCAGGAGGAAAGGATCTTAAAAAAAATAAAAAAATAAAAAAAAGCGGGGAGAACAGAGAGGAGGGCAGGAAGCTGGCGTTTCCGGAGCGCCCACTCTGCCCCGAGGAGGTGGGATGCGCGGCCCATTCCCCCGGCCGCGTGGGGAGGGCCGCGCCTCGGATGCAGTGACCGGGTTGGGATGCGAACCCATCTGCCTCCCGCCGGGTGGTCTTTCACCTGGAGAAACGCCCAGGGGAGCGAGAGGGGCGTGGCGGGGCGGGAGGAAGAAAGTAGGGGGGCCGGAAGGGGGCGCAGGAGGGCGGGCGCCGGTGCGGGGCCGCGGCTGCGGGGTGGAGACCCTCGAGGGGAGGGAGCAGCTGTCTGGCCGGCCGTCTGGGCTCCACCACCCAGAGGGCGCTGCAGGCCCCGCCTCGCTCCTCCCGCGCCCTTCCAGCGCCCCCACGCGGGCGCTCCTGAGCCTGGCTCCCCTCCTAAAACTCGGAGTTGGCTGACCCGGAGCCCCGGGGTGGACTTGAGCGCTAGTCCCCTGGATATAGAGGGGCGGGAGGGGCTGGGCCATCAGGACGCCGGGTGGAAGGGGTTGGTAGGTGGGTAGGCTTTTGGGGGTGGGCCGCCGCGGTCCCCCCCAGAGGGAGGGAGGGATAAAAGTGGCCTGGGGTGAGTGAGTGGCACAATAGCCTTTGCCCCCTTCCAGCTGCCATGGCTAAGACTGCTCCCCCCTCTCTGAGGTTATATCCATGCATTTATTCAGGGATTCTGGATTTCCTGAGCACTTGACATCATGGGAGAACAGAGATGAAAGAAACCGACAAGCACCGGAACGGTGTTAACAATGGGTGGGGAGTGCGCGCAGGGCATTTGGGGAGAAACAAAGAATCCGACCTTTACCCACGTTTGCATGGCGGGGACTGCCGACACTTGTCCTGGACAGAACCCCTGAATTGGGGAAGTGGTCTCTGCACCCAGAGTGCGGAGAGAGCGCTCGGAGCGGTTGTCCGCTGTGCCCAGACATTGTGTGGGCAGATGACTGGGCCTTGCTTTTGGGATTCCTAGCCCCTCAGTTATGCCTGGACCATCTCTGGGAGGGTCTGAAGGAATCAACCAGTTTCAGAAAGAAACTCTGTCCTGAGAATGATTCAAAACAGTCCCTGACCTTGCCTTTGTCATCAGGCACCTCCCCCACCATCAAAGGCCCTGGGCGCTCCTCACCCTGTCTCCCTTCTCCATCACCTTTCTCCATATGGCCCCGGACCCACCCGCACCGCCCTTTTTTTTTTTTTTTTTTTTTTTTTTTTGCAATTAGGCTCTGTAGGGAAAGACTAAGCTTGCACAGTTGGGGGTATTTGTCCACAAGAAGGATTTAAGTCAACAGAAATGAAGCAGAGCACAGCGGCCAAGAGTACTCATGCCTCGCCAGCACAGCCAGATTCGGTGAGCCTGAGAGGGGGCGGTGAAGGATTAAGAAAAGACAGACAAGAGAATAAGGCTGGGTCTAGGGGGGGACTCTGACGGAGAGACAGAGCCACGGCCTTCAAGCCGAGTCTTTATTTTATATATAAGCCAGTTTCCATGGTGCAAAGTTAAGGGCCTGGTTACAATGTTCTCCTGGGTTTTGAATCTACTCAATGACATGCACCTGACCAAGCTTTGTTTACTTGCTGCACCTCCCCCAGCCGGTACCATGCAGCCACCTGGAGCCGCTCTCTGCAAGTAAGACCCTGGGTTCAAGTTCTGAGCCACCCCGTGCCATCTGTGTGACCTCAGGCTTTCTAAACTTCACTTACCTCATCCAGAAGACAGGGGTTATAATAGCCTCACTTCAAAAGGGCGCTGAGACGTTTACGGACTGTCGAGATAATGCATAAAAGGACCTAGGGCAGCACCTAGCACGTTGTAGGCTCTTAATAGATGCTAGCAATTGTTATTGCTGTTTAGTTAAACAGTAACACTCATCCATATTTTATAGGAAAGCCCCGATGAAGGAAAATCATTTTAGGCCTTCCTTGATACGTTGCCATCGGCCCAGTGTTTCCCAAGGAGATGAAATGGTCTTTCCATCAGACTAGGAGCTAGCTCCCTGCGGCCAAGTCTCTTAGACAGGGCTCAGCGTGGGGGACCTCAGAGGGAGGGTTCAGGAGCTTCAGGCCTGAGGGCCAAGGAAGACCTGTGGAGCCCCATTGCTGGGGGATGTGGGCCCTGGTCCTGCCCCTTTCCGAAATGTGGAGGGGAAGAAGTTTCGCTCCGGAGTGCTTGCTTCTCGCAGGGTCTGTGTGCCATCAAGGCACCCGGAGTCTGACCCCGTCCATTAGTGCGGGAGACGCTCCGGACGAAAACCTGCCTTTTCTGGCCGGCGTGTGGGAGAAGAGTGAGCTGCTAATTGAAGCATAATTGGAATGCACTGTCCTCTGTCTACTGAGTGGAGCTTCCAGACCTCACCGTCTGCAGAACAGTTTGTCTCTCGAGTCGGGAGGAGTCCGGAGCCAGCCAGGCAGAGACAGCTCCCATGGGTTGGGTCGCTGGGCCCGCTGAGCCGGCTGGGCTGGGCGTGAGGCTCAGGATGAACTCCTGTCCCCCTGTCCCTGACCACTGTCTGGGGTCCTGGAGCTGACGGAGCTCCCAGAGGAAGGCTGGGTTCAGTGAGGCCCTGTGCAGGCTGCTGGGACCTGGGGAGGGAGGAGGCCAGGCCTTGAATGCCAGGTTGTGGGGTGCGGGTTTTATCCAATAGACACTGGGGCGTCCCTGGAGGTTTTAGAACAAAGATTTCCCCCTTCAACGGTTCCCAAACCCTCTTCCCCTCAACAAGGTGATGGTGGGGAGGCGCTGGAGACAGGGGAGCCTTTTAGGAGGTGATAGTGGTAGTCAGGAGGTAACATGGCAGGCCTGGGCTGGTGGGAAGAGGGTGTCAGCAGGCCTGTGAGCTGGAGGGATGGAGAGAGGGAGGCTCTGGGAAGGCAAGGAAGAGCTGGTAAGGGGCCAATGTGTACAGTAGGGGTGTCGAACTCAATCAGAGAAGGGGCCAAAATCTAAAATCCAGCCTAAATCGCGGGCCGAATGGTTTACTGAACAGTCATAAACTGTCATTGTGATGGAAACGCAGCGGAGTGCAGTGATGACAGCGCGGTGCGGGCCACATTGCAAGGCCTGGCGGGACGGATTTGGCCCGCGGGCCTTGTGTTTGACACATGTGGTGTACAGTCTGACAGTTTGAAGGTCTTACCATCCAAGGGGTGGACCAGGAAGTGCTTGAAGCTCAGGGTCAAGGTTGTAGAGCTTTAAGGAGGTCAGTGGGCTGGGATGATGATGTGAGGGGAGACCACCTATCCCAGGGAAGTTGAGGATAAAAAGGTTGAAGCCGCAGATCTGAGCAGCCTGGATATTGAAGAGGCAGGTGATGGATAAGGGGGCGGGGTGAGAGCGACTGAAGAGAAGTTAGAAGTATGGGTGCCCAGGAGAGGGGACCAAGTGCAGACATCCCTGAGGGAGATGCTTGTAACGATACACACATATACGGACAAACACATCTATTGTGGAGACTGGGAGCAGCACAGGCAGAACACACACGAGTGGGCGGCAGTGGCTACTTCTGAGATGGTCGGTAGGTAGAGGCAGGGTTCCATCATCTATTCCAGTGGACGGCAAACTCATCAGTCCACAGAGCCAAATGTCAACAGTACAACGATTGAAATTTCTCTTGAGAGCCACATTTTTTAAACTTAAACTTCTTCTAACGCCACTTCTTCAAAATAGACTCGCCCAGGCCGTGGTATTTTGTGGAAGAGCCACTCTCAGGGAGCCAAAGAGCCGCATGTGGCTTGCGAGCCTCAGTGTGCCGACCACTGATCCATTCGATGTCCTATATTATTTGAATATTTTCAATGAGAATATGTGCATGTACGCTCTCACAATTTAAAACAAGATAAGAAGTCATCTAAAGGTCCATTACCATTAACAAGAGGTTGGCTAACTCAATTGTGACAGTGGAATGCTGCACAGCTGTGAAAAGGAAGGAATGAGAGTCCATGCATCAAGGATTAAAACTCACAAAATGTTGAGCAAAAAAAAGACAAGTGGCAGCAGGACACCTATTGTGTGATTCCATCTATGAAGAATGAAAAAAAAACAACCACCATTTAAAAAATCGATATTACAGACGGATGCATATACATGTAGTGAACGGGTAAAATACTCACAGGAATAAGTGATAAATTCAGGAGAGAGCTTACCTGTGGGAGGAGGGCGCAGGTCACTTCAGTTTTCTCTGTGAAAACCTGTTTCTTAGCTGGGAAGTAAGGATTCAGGTTTGCTGAACTATTACCTATGCATTTCTATATACCTGAGATAATTAATACATTTTGAAAAAAAAATAAAAGACTAGAAGAGAAATAGGACAAACCATGGCCTAACCGGGTCCCGGGTTTGATTCCTGTCAAGGGCATGGACCTTGGTTGCGGGCACATCCCCAGGAGGAGGTGTGCAGGAGCCAGCTGATCGATGTTTCTCTCTCATCGATGTCTCTAACTCTCCCTCCCTCTCTGTAAAAAATCAATAAAATATATTAAACAACAACAAAAACCCCCCAAAAACCATGCAACAGAGGGTTTTGTTTTGTTTTTCATGATCAAGAGAAACATTATTCATTTTTATCTATTTATTTTGTTTGGCACTGATCTTAGCAAAACCTTAAAAATAAAAATAAGAACAAAAATAAATTTGATAGTATGACAGATGTCCCCCAACGCAGAGGGGTTTTCAGAAAGAGAAGGGTCAACAGTACGAAACGAGGCAGCTGGTCCCGCGGTGCAGGAGGGGCCGGGGCAGAAGCCAGTTGCCCTGGAGGAGGAGGCACCACCGTGTTTCGGGCCCACAGCAGAGGATCTGCTTTCAGTTTTCCTGCCCAGAGTCCTGACAAGAGGGCCCTGAACCCCATTATCAGCCGGTGGTCCTCCTGGGGACTTCCCACTGTGATCTGTACCCCCAGGGCCCCTGGACCCATGAGGGAGCATCAGGGGTCTCACCAGGAGTAAGTGGAGTCAGGTCCCAAAGGGGGGCCGGTGGCCTCGCCATCAGCACAGCCGGAAGTGCCGAGGGGCCCTGAGGCGGGAAGAGGGCCCTGCTGACTGACAGGAGTCAGTGAGTCTCTGGCACCCAGAGGGCAGGTGGGCGAGGACAGTGTTGAGGCTTGAAGGTTAGAGGAGGCAAAAGCCAAACCCCAGTGCCCGGGCAAGGAGAGTGGGCGATGCCCAGGCTTGGCAGACAGAAAGCGGGCTGAAAGATGAGGTGCCAAGCTGGGGAGAGGGGCTGCCAGGGCTGGAGATCAGAGGAGCGGATGGGGGAGGGCTGGGCACTGTCAGGGCTTGAAGCAGGAGGCTGCAGGGGGGCAGGGAGGGGGGTGGCAGGAGGTGGGGGGAGGGGGAGGGATCAGTGAAGCCAGGGGGTGGCCGGGAGGAAGTGGGCAGTGCCAAAGGAGCAATGGGAACGAGCCAGTGCCAGCCTGGGGCCGGGAGGGTGGTGTTCAGGGGAG